ACTGGACATATAAAGAAGCTATCCAGTTTGGCTCCTTGGTGAAGGATTGTGATCTGCAGTATATTGAGGTACACTCTGAAATTTTTGTTAACATTTGTACTCTACATTACCATTTGCCGTACTTGAAATTTTGATGATTCAATGTTGTGCCTCGCTTTCCTTTTATCTATGTACATTTAGGATTAATGATATTTCTCAATATTTTCTAAATGTTAGTGGTTGACCCTATGACTATTTATTTATCTCAGGAACCTGTTCATATTGAAGGTGATATTATCAAGTTCTGTGAAGAAAGTGGGTTACCTGTGGCACTGGACGAAACTATTGACAGTATCAGAGAACATCCACTTCATACGCTAATGAAGTATACCCATCCAGGAATAGTAGCTATTGTAAGTGGCAATTTATGCTCATTGGTATATTTTGCAATTTGATGTCTCTGTTATTGAAATTTATGACCACTTGTGAGATATGCTAATTTTACATTCCTGATTTAGGTTGTTCATATTGGTTGTTTCAGGTTATTAAGCCTAGTGTTGTTGGTGGCTTTGAAAATGCAGCAATAATTGCCCAATGGGCCCAGCAGCACCGAAAAATGGCTGTTATTAGTGCTGTATTTGAAAGTGGCCTAGGTTTGTCAGCATATATTCAGTTTTCCTGTTATCTTAACCAGAAGAATTCAGAAATATGTGAAATGATGAATTATGCATTGGCCCCATCAATAGCACATGGTTTAGGAACATACAGCTGGCTAAAAGAAGATGTAACGACCACTCCTCTGAAGATAAGTTGTAATCCAGATAGTGGCTCTGTAGAAGCATCTGTTGCTGATGCTGATCAAGTTCTTCGGAAATTTAAAATTAATCGCAACATAATTCATGGAACTTTTACTGGAGAGCAAGTTTGTGTATACCAGCTGCCTGTAGATTCAAAGGATTTCTCTTGTTCTATCAAAGTCCACGAGATTGGACAAAGATATGATGTTAGTAAAATTTCATGTACTCTCTTTCTCTCTCTCCAACCTTTTCTATTTTCTTTTGCCATCTAAGGAGCGTACCCTGAACATCTTGTTGGCATAAATTCACATTTCTGCATTTTTGGCACTTGATATAGCTACAATTTAGGATGGATACTTATGGTATCAGCTATCAGGTGTGTATGTGGTAATAATTGGTTGGTTTTCTCTGCTCGAGACTTTTGTGTGGAAGGTTATTGGAGTGACTGGGATGTTTTTGCCCTCTTGATATATTTTGAGGGTAGTGATGGGATACAAGATTGAGGGATGAGAGGTGTTGTTGAGTGTTATTGCAAGCAAGTCTTTTGTAGTTCTCAGAATAAAGATGAGCAGTTAATAGCTAAATGGATTACTCTGGTGGTTCTCGATTGGAACTTAGGGATTTTCTTGGCTGATTCAAGATTGGGACATGCATTTGGTTCATGCTCTTCCCATTTCTATACAAGGTTGAGGGTGTAAGGTTGGGTAGGAGATGATGCGTTTCATATGCATTGACATGTAGTACTAATCCTATACAGCATGCTCACTGACACCAGAATTAAGCTGATGCAGGATAATGTATTTGTATTTCTTCATGGGTTTCTTGGAACTGGTGAAGATTGGATTGCTATCATGAAGGCCATTTCAGGATGTGCGAGATGCGTTGCGATCGACCTCCCTGGTCATGGTGGAACAAAGATACAGAACCATGGTGATAACAATGCTACACAGGATTCAGGTTTGTCAATTGAGGTGGTTGCCGATCTTTTATGTGAATTGATAAAGCATATTACGCCTGGGAAGGTTACTATTGTGGGATATTCTATGGGAGCAAGGATTGCGCTCTACATGGCTCTGAGGCTTACTGACAAAGTATGTCTGCATTTTTTAAGATTTTAATTTCAATTTGAGCTTATGTTTCTGTGGTGTTAACAAAAGTAGGATTTTGTCATGAAGGTCAAGGGAGCTGTTGTAATATCTGGAAGCCCTGGATTAAAAGATGAAGTGGAAAGAAAAGTTCGTAAAGCTAAAGATGACTCTAGAGCACGTTTTCTTATTGCTCACGGCTTAGAGCTCTTTCTGGACAACTGGTACTCTGGAGAGCTGTGGAACAGGTGATTTTAAGATTTTTCTCATTTTATGGTGTTTGGATTCTTCATGCATCTCTAACCATATGAGTAATTTGAACAGCTTAAGAGTCCATCCTCGATTTCGTCAGATAGTCTGCACCCGCCTGCTTCATGAAGATGTGCAGAGTCTTGCTAAAGTTCTGTCTGCTTTGAGTATTGGAAGGCAACTGTAAGCTTACTTGACTATTTACCGAATCTGTGATTCTCGCACAACATACATTCTAAATAATACGTCAGGAGAGTTGATGACTCTTTTCACATGTTAGGCCATTGTGGGAAGACTTAAAGCACTGCAAAACACCCCTTTTGCTCATTGTTGGAGAGAAAGATGGAAAGTTCAAGACAATAGCCAAGGATATGTGCCATGAGATCGGTGGTGGTATGGTGACTGGTGATGGCCCGCCTAATGACATTTCCGAGATAGTTGAGATTCCAGATTGTGGCCATGCTGCTCATCTCGAAAACCCTCTCCCTGTAATCAGCACATTGAGGCGGTTTTTGACAAGAGTGAACTCATCAAACCAGAAGGCCGTTTAGAGATGTAATCTTCTCATTTTTACAGTTTTCTTCAGAGATTTGGTTGCAAAAAAAGAGAGAGAAGAAATCATTCTCCAGAGAGTGATCGAAAAATCGGCACCTGAGAATTAACTTTTAATATTAATTTCTGAATTGAATACAACCGCAGATACTTGTTGGTTTATTGAATTTTTTTTTTTTTTTTTTCTAGAACAGATGTAGATCTAAGTCGGGCTTAAGCGAGGGTCGTCTACGCACATGCATTGGCCATCAACACATTTGAGATTTGCCCCTGCACAAATGATTCCTTGGCAGTCATGTACAACAGAGCAAGCCTTGCCAATAATCTGCCTTAAGAAAGCTAAAAATGGCAGGTTAATAAATTAATTTCCAAACTATGTGGATTTTTGTCTTAGATACAAAATTAGCCGATCGACAAAACTATTATTGAAGAGTCAATTTTGCTATTTATATGTCTCCAGTTATTGATTTTATGGAACTTGGAGAAGAAAACTAAATCTAAGAGACAGGCTCAAGGGATGGTCGTCAACGCAGATGCATTTGCCATCGTTACATCTGAGATTTCCCCGTACACAATACATTCCTTTGCAGCCACTAACATTGGAACAGGACTTGCCAACCCTCCTTCTGTCTATGCATTTGCATTGCAAAAGGGGCTGCCATCTACGCATACACTTCCACAGTCATGGCCAGTCCAATTTTCGCCTATTTCAGGCGTCTGGACTATTTCCCTTGCCGGTGCTTCAGCCGCAAGGAAAACATCAATGCATGTGCATTTGTTGTCAATACTGTTGTCAATACAAATAACCCGGCCTTCAAAGCATTCAGTTTTATTGCAGTCAGCGGTAGTGGAACATTGTTCTTGAACCAAGTTGCTGCCTTCTGCTCTTGTTGGCAACCTTGATGTTAGTTTATGGGAGAAGAGGTGTAGGAAAATAGCTTAACTTGGAATGAAAACTTTTGAAAGAGTAACAAAGTAGTTTTACTTGAATGAAGCAGGAAAGGTACAAGGCTTGATTACTTGAGTTGGACAGCTGCAGTTTTCAGCTTCATTACTTGAGTGGGTTGCATGCTTATTTATACAGATGCTAAGTCGGCAATTTTGCTTGGAGAAGTCGGTTGTACAGTAACTGATAACCGACTTTATCTAAGGCATTTTTAGCCACAAGTTTAGGCTCAGTTTGGGATTGCTATCCTTTTTTTTAAAAAAGTTGCTTATGTTGTGCTTTGAAAATAATTAGCTGTAAAGTAGAGCAACTCCATGTTTGGTAAACAATATTTTTAAAGTGTTGTTAGTATAAAAAGCAATGTCAAACCGTTCGGTAAATTTTAATATAAAACTGTTGTAACTGTGAATAATGACTAAAATAGACACGATGTTGAAAATGTTATGTGCTAATCATGTGGTGGTAGTGGTGGTGGTGGTGGAGTGGAGGTGGTAGTGAAAGAGATGGAGGTGAAGGTGGTGGTGGTGATGACGATGGAGTTGGTGGTTATGATAGTGGATGTGGAGGTGGTGGAGGAGGAGGTAGTGGTGGATGTTGGTTGTGGAGGTTGTGAACGTGGTGGTTGAGTTGGATGTGGAAGTGGAGGTAGTGTCATTTTTTAAAATAAATAATGATATTTTGATAATTAAAAAAATTCATTAAAGGCTCATCTCTGCTTCTTTTGAAAGCAGTTTTGAAAAGTAACCCAGAACCTGCTTTTAAAAGTTGCTGTTAAAAGGCCACTACTTTTAAAATAATCATGATATTTTATTTTTACCAAACACCTAAAATTGAATAACTTTAAAGTGAAGCAGATTTTTTGCCAAAAAATGCAATCCCAAACGGGGTCGTACTCCTATAATTCTAGAATTCTCTAGTTACAATTAGAAAAGAAAATTATTAGGATGGTTCTAGTAAGAGTCAACCATCTTTTACTTAGTAATTCTCTCAATTATTCTAGAATTTTCTAGTTTTATCACACAACTGTGCGTTAATGTTTAACACTCCTTCTTAATGCACACTTGTGTTATTCCGAGCATGTTTCATAGCAGTTCGAATTTTGGTCTTGGAAGTGCCTTAGTGAAGATGTCTGCAATTTGCTCCTCTGTCTTGCAGTACTTGAGCTCAACTTCTTTGTTTGTTGAGATTTCTCATAAGAAGTGATGCTTGATGGCAATATACTTTGTCCTGCTGTGGAACACTAGATTCTTCACTATTGCTATATCAGACTTGTTGTTGCAAAGTATTTCAATAGCTTTTGTTTGGCACTCTCCCATCTTCAAATATTCTTCTAAGCCATATAGCTTGGCATATTGTACTTGCTACTGCTACGTACTTGACTTCTGCTGATGATTATGCCACGGTATCTTGTTTTCTTGATGACCATGAAAATATACCAGACCCAATTGTAAATGCATAACCTAATGTGCTTTTCATGTCATCCACTGATCCAGCCCAATCACTTTTTGTGTAGCCAAATAGTCTTGAATCTGTAGTAGGCTTATACCATAGGCCATAGTCAATTGTGCCTTGCAAGTATCTTAATATTATCTTTGTTGCTCCATAGTGTATCTGGCTTGGATTTTGCATAAATCTTGATAGTAAGCTTATCGCGTACATGATGTCGAGTCTTATTGTTGTCAAATATAGTAAGCTCCCAATGAGACTTTTGTAAACTGATTCATCTGCTTTACTTGATCCATCTTCCTTTCTTAATTTCTCATTGGTGATAAGTGGAGTAGCCATAGTCTTGCATCCGTACATCTTGAAATTTTTCAATAGATTCTCAATGTACATGTAGATTCCATCTTCTTCTTGGTTTATCTCAATGCCCAAAAAGTAGTGCATCAACCCAAGGTCACTCATCTCGAATGTTTCCATCATATCCTTTTTGAACTCGTGAATGATTTCTTCATTGTTTTCAATGTAGATGATGTCATCCACATATAGAGAGACGATCAAGATATCGGAGTTACCTTGAGTTTTGGTGTAGAGAGTAGGCTCGCTTTTGCTCCTCTTGAAGTTTGCGTTGATGAAGTAGTTGTCTATGCAGCTATTCCATGCTCGTGGCGCTTGCTTGAGTCCGTACAAGGCTTTCTTTAGCTTGAGTGCTTTATCTTTTTCTCCTTGCTCAATAAATCCTTGTGGTTGCTCCACATATATTTCTTCTTTGAAATGTTGACTTTACGTTTGGCTAATAAATTCTCCGTTTATTTTGAGCTACTAGTGCTATCAGTGCTCTTATAGTGTCAAGTCTTGCAATTGGTGCAAAGGTCTTGTTGTAGTCTATGCCCGGCTGCTGCGAATAGCCTTTAGCTACTAGCCTAGCCTTATGCTTTTGTATTGATCCATTATGATTAAATTTGGTCTTATAAACCCATTTAACCCCAATGATCTCTTTGTCTTGTGGGCAATCTACGAGCTCCCACATTTTATTTTTCTCAATTGTTTTGATTTCTTCTTCCATAGCTTTTCTCCAGATTTCTTCTTTTACCACAACTTCAATAGTTTCTGGTTCTATAGTTATAAAGTTGCAAGTTTCTTATATATCTTGGAGTGATCTAGTTCTTTGTTATGGTTTTGGAGAGCCTTCATGTTGTATGGATGGGGGAGTTGTTGAAGGTGGTGGAGTCGTACCTGGCGTATCGTCAGTTTCCTCTCTGCATGGTTGTTATAGTAACACTTTTCCTTTCAACTTTTTCTTTCTCCCAGTTCCATGACACCGATTCATTGAACTCAACATCTCGGCTTATCATAAACTTCTTAGTTATGGGATTCTAGACTTAATAGCCTTTAGATTGGGAATTGTATCCCAGGAATATACCAACTTCAGATTTTTCTTCTACCTTGTGTCTTTTCTCCTTAGGAATGTGCACATAGCAAATGTATCCAAATGATTTGAGATGCTTTGCTAATGACTTCATATTGCTTTAAGCCTCAATAGGAGTCTTATTTTGTAAAGCTTTTGTTGGGCATCTATTTAGCAAGTATACTGCTATATATACAGCTTCTGCCCATAATGTGTTTGGCAAGGCTTTTTCAAATATCATGGATCTTGCCATCTCCATGACATTCTATTTTTTCTTTCTAAGACTCCATTTTGTTTAGAAGCATAGCCAACTGTTAGTTGATGCTCTACTCCTTCATCTTCACAAAATTTGTTGAATTCTTTGGAGGTATACTTTTTCTTCTATCACTTCTTAGAGCTTTAATATAGTGGCCACTTTATTTTTCGACATGAGTTTTGAATTTTTTTGAAGATATTAAATACTTATGATCTTTTTCGTAGAAAATAAACCCACGTCATTCTAGTGTAGTCATATATGAACATGATAAAGTACCTGTTGTTATCAAGAGATGGAGTTCTCATGGGTCCACAAACCTCTGTGTGCACAAGCTCCAACAAAGCCTTAGCTCTCCAAGCCTTTCCATATGGATATGCTTATCGATGTTGTTTGCCAAGTTGGCAACCTTCACAGACATCATGGATATCTTTTATGTTTGGAAGGTCTCTCATCATATTCTTTTGATAAAGAGTTTTTAGTGCATAAAACTTAAAGTGGCCAAATCTTCTACTCCATAAACATGAATCTTCTACTTCTTCTTTCATGTGGTTGTGGCTTTTACAAATTGCCATTGGATGGGAAACATTTCTATTTTCCATCCTTACTTTTGTTATTATGTGATTTTTATTTTTTTAGTCAAATATTGTGCACGAGTCTCTAGAAAAGTGCAGAGAGTATCCATTTTCAATCATTTGTACAACACTTAATAGATCGTGCTCTAGGCTAGATACTAGTAGAACATCTTTTATATATTTAGTTCCTTTAGGCCATGTTTGGTATACCTCACTAAACTGGATTGGGTTAAATAGCACTCGAAACCCTTGTTTGGTAAGAGACGAGACTAACTTAAATGCGACTGTATAGTCCAATAGTGAAAAAAGGCCTCACTCGCTCGTCTAATACAGTGAGCCTGAAAAGTGGTTCGCTAAATAACATGCTCGCTAAATAGAACACGTGAGTCTGACGCCTCACTTTAAAAAAATATCAGAATTTTATTTGTTTTCTTTTAATTATTGTTTTAGATCTTTGGGTTTTTTTTTTTTTTTTTTTTTTTTTTTTTTTTTTTTTTTTTTTTTTATTTATTTTTAGATTTTTTTATTTTTTTAATTATAAATAAAAAATAATTAAATATTACAATAAAATAATTTTTATATTGCATTTGGAAAATCAAACTATAGTAATTTACAAATGTTTGATATTGAAACAAGTTTAATAATTCATGATGTGATGCTTTCTTTATCGCAAGCAATTTTTACCTTGTCAAATTATATTTTTCAATTTGAAGTCAAAAGTCAAATATACAAAAATTATACATATATATATATATATATATAATTTTTTTAATTATTGTTTTACTTGGTCCCTGAAAAATCTAGAATTATATAGAGTGAGCTTAGCTCTTTTAACAATGTTTCGACCAACTAAGATTAATCTTAAGAAGCCAAAAAATAAATATCATTATTTTATTTTTCATAAAAAAACAGAATTTTATTTGTTTTCTTATTATTATTATTTTTTATTTTTGCTAGATATTTGTTCACCTCGTTTTGTGATTTCACATGAGATGGAATGGCAAAGCTCTCCACTGCCTTGAAAACCATTGACTGGTCAACAAGTCAGCTTTCTTTGGTGTATGAGCGTGCCACTGCTAGCAATGAAGATTCTAGCAGACTTATTCTAGAATAGATAACTTGAGCCCCCAAGTCACTGATTTCTATAAATAAACGATTGTGAATTTGGGTGAGGAATATCTCCCAAGTAAGTTCTTTTCTTGCCTCAGACTGGTGAGGACTTTAACAATTTATCTCAGTAAAAAAAGGTTGTTCTGGCCAGAATGGTTGATGGAATTTAAGCTGTCTTAGGCAAAACTGCCTTTTACAAAACTATAAAAATAAATACCTATGCTAGAAAGATAAAAAGACAGCTGGAACTCCATTTCTGTCTGGATGGGAGGCTCTGATCCGGGCTGGACTGGAAATATCTGGGCTGGACTGATCTGTTAACAACTTCAACTGCTAAGCTTCAGCTGTAAATCGATACCAAAGGTCAATTTTGGCAGAGCTTTAATATACTTCAAGCTTTTGTGAGGCTTTTGAGTGGGCAGAACTGCGGCTTCTTCAGTCTGAGAGGGCAGAAGTGGCTGTTCTTGAGGACTTCAGTGGGCTAGAGACTGCACTGTGAAATTTGTTGAGGTTTTCATGTTTGGGAAAAGCTCAAGCTCTACATGTCTTGGTTTTTTGCTGAACCAAATTTGTAATGAGAGAAATCTCGTTTTAAATGACTTATTTTCTAAATCTGGACCTTGGGAATTCTGATCTAAAGCTGGTTTCACTTGGAATTCAAGTGAGCTTCTGGTTGATTTTGAGTTGTTTGTTTGGTTGATGATTTGAATGTAGGATTTCTTGTCCTCTGCCCTGTTCACTCATTCTTGTATTTATAAGAAATGTTTTTCTGGAGTAGGGTGATTCTTTTAATAATGGGCGGCAAATCCTTTCAAAGATCTGCAAAGAGATACAAGAGAGGGAAGAATTTAATTTAATTATGTCAGATAGGCTTTTATCAATCAATCTTTGAGATCACTTCCCTGTTTTTTAAAAGAAGCCCAATTCCTTTTCCCACTTTAACTGCCCCTTGTGAGATTTCAACCGTGATGGTTAGTTTGATTTCCTAGATGAACAACTCTCTGTCCTCCTGCTTATCTCCTTTTTGAAATATGGCCTGCGTATCTTTTGAAAGGATGGTGCCTCCTTGGAGTGAAATCAATATTTTTGAATATATAAGAAGGATTTTGATCTTCTAGTGGCAGAAATTCAGAGAAGTCCTTTTGCCACTGACCTGCTTTAATTAATTCTCAATCAACTCAGTTGAGTTTGTTGACTTTTCCATTTTGGTAGTCACGTGGGTTCTGAAAACGGGTCTCTTCCTTTTTTTTCTTTTAATCATGCTGGGCCCATTCTGATTTGTCTAGAGCCCAAAGGTAACTGCTTTTCTTTTGGGGCCCAAGTTTGCTTGCCACATTTTGATGAGTCTTGGGTTGGGCCTCTCTAGACTTTGGGCTTTGCCTTCCGTTTTGCAAAAGCCCAAACTGCTTGAGTCCTGTAGCTTTTATTCTGGGCTTTCTCCGTGTTGGGCTAGGCGCATTTAATTTAAGCCCAAACAATATTATTATAAATCTTTGAATTGGGTTTCTTTGTAGCATTTATTTATCTTTTAGGTAAAAAAACCCAATTAAATTTAAATATTATAAGAATTATTTTTTAGTCCAACACAGAACCAAACACAGGTCTTCATTATTTTTACAATCTAGCTTCTTAGTCTGACGCATCATCAAACGTAGGTCAGTACTTAATCCAGCTTAGGCCAATCCGAGACAGTCCCAGGATTTAGTCTAATCCATGACAGTCTACCGTGCCAAACGACCCCTTATTAGTTTGGATAGAGATTGTACCTTTTCCTTTTGTCTCCACCAGTGCTCCATTTTCCTATTTTACTTGGGATTTACGAACTTGTCTAAGTTGGAGAAGATGCTTTCATCTTCAATCATGTGGTTACTTCAACTGCTATCCATATACCATTTTTTGTTGTTTCCTTTTGATGTGGCTTGAGAAGCACAAAACACATGCTCATTTTTCTTACTTACTTTTGGTAATTGGCTTGATAGTTCTTGGTCTGACAGTCTTTTTCTATGTGCCCAATTTTTTTTACAATTTCGACATTTGGGCTTGCCACGAAACCAACAATATTTTTATAGGTGGTTTGTATTTTTACACACCCTGCAGGGTTTATAAACCCAATGCTTATTTATACAGATGCTAAGTCGACAATTTTGCTTGGACAAGTCGGTTGTACAGTAACCAACTTTATCCAAGGCATTTTTAGCCACAAGTTACTCCTATAATTCTAGAATTCTCTAGTTACAATTACAATAAATAATTATTAGGATGGTTCTAGTAAGAGTCAACCATCTTTTACTTAGTAATTCTCTCAATTATTCTAGAATTTTCTAGTTTGATAATAATGCTACACCTGCAACCAAGAAGACGACCTAGCTCATCATACCTAAATCCATGTTTTAATGATTTTTGTGACACGTTAGGGTTAATCTGAATATCAGGGTTTACTTTGTATTGCACTGAGTACGTAAGTGAGGTCTCTTGGGTTGTATCTATTTGTAGGGGTTCACACACCTCTAGTTTTAACATCAAATTAAGAAAGCTAAAAATAGCAGGTTAATGAAGTACTTTCCAAACTATATGGGATGCTCCCTTGATACATATCTAATGGATGGTTTCCGTAAATGACTTTTTGAATTAAAATTTAGAGAAGAGTTAAAAACTCTCAACTTCAACTATGCTTCATGTTTATCTCCTAGAATAAGTAGAAAAGCGTTGTTAGATGAAAGGATCAGTTTAAGATATAAGGGAAAAGATATGTATTATCTTTAATCTTGCTAACACATGATCCAGCATTTAGATAAGGTTGATATCTTTGTTAGCCAGGCAAGATGTTAGAAATTATCATTAGTGGCTTTGCTCAAGAAATCGAGGGGTTCCAAGACCACAAAGATATATAACATAAGGCATAAATCATATTAGAGAATGACATAATAAGTTATACGCCATGCTCAATTCGAGTACCATTTGTATTATGTGTTGTTATTATTCATTGTAGGAAGATTAATACATCCCCATAGCCACTTGTTAATAATCCAACACTTAAGCTGCACCTCTCTAGATTGGACCAATAGCCATCAATTCACGCCTACGCATATGCATTTCCCATTAACACATTTGAGGGTTCCCGATCGACATAGGAAATCAATTTTGTCGCAGTCCTCCTGACTGGAACATGGTCTTTCATTTTCATTTGTCTGGGCGGAGGCATCACTATTCGGTATTTTGCATTCGCACAAGTTGTCAATGCAAATCTTTTTAAACTCTTTTGAGTAACAGGGAAACGTTTCGCAGTCAGCGGTAGTAGAGCATCTTCGCTTAATCACCATGGCTTCCGAGAAGAATGGTACACCTGCACCACCAAAAACAAAATATAATCGTTTAGAGACCTTATATAATACAGTGTTCTGCTACAACAAAGATATATATGAAGAAAAAAAACTCACAAGATGCAATGACCAAGAAGACGATGAAAATAGCTGCCTTAGATGTTGTCTTCTCCATGTCTGATTTTGATTTTGTCACCTGAGATGGATGGATGTGAATCGTGATGATCAACTTCTCCAAGGTTTTCGTTCTGCACTATAGTAAGGAGCCCCTTGGGCTATATTTATACTATAGGCGTGTCGACATTTGTGGTAGTTTTTCCAAACTTTGTGGAAAATAATATGAAATTTCCAGATAATACAGTCCAACTTTTGACTTCCATAATATGGATTATCTTTAATCCTGTTAACTAATCAAGAAATATATCATCCCTTAATAGGCATTTCTGTATACGTCGAGTGCAATGAACCCCACACTAATACATATGGACATATATTCAATATAAAAATTGGGCTAATTGTGATGTTTAAGCCCAACAATTTAAAATTAAAAAAAAAAAATAAATATCCAAAAAAAAAAAAAAAAAAAAAAAAAAAAAAAAAAAAAAAGCAAATGGGTTTACAGTAGGCCCAAACGGTGAGAAACTGGGAATCGAATCGGACTGTAACCAATCTGGTTCGGTTTGGTTTCTAATATAAGTTTTGTATAAAAAACCGAATTAGACCATATAAAAAGTACCAATTCCGATTCCTGTTTGGGGTGAGAATCGGGCGGAATTGAACCGTGCCCAGGCAAACGACCCTTATTGGGCTCCTTTTCCATTTCTGGTTCAAACAATCTGTTTTCTTTTAGTCTCTGTGCTGCTGTTGCTGGTATAGCCCGGGAGAGCTTGAAGTTGTATGTATTTTTTCTTTTTTCTCAGTTCCAATGAAAAATAAATAAATAAAGCATTGAAGATTCTTTGACTGATACCACAACGGTATCCTTACCCTTGAATCCATTTTCACACATAAGCACCCTCAAATATTGATAACAAAAAAAAGGTCCACTTGGGCTTCGTTGTGTACTAGAAAAAACAAAACAAAACAAAACAAAAAGGATCATGGCACTCCACTCTATAATGAAAACAGTTTCGAATATTAAAATGAATAAGATTATTTGTGTTGTTTAACATGGTCTTCGTCAAATTTGTATTGTTTTGAGAGGTTATCTTCCTTAATTGGGCTCTGGAGAAATTTAATTAAGACACCCAAACGAAAATAAGTAATTTATTTTTTCGTTTTACATAAAAGAATTAAATCAGTAACATATTTAAATATTCACTAAAGAAATGATAATTAATACATAATTATTAATTAAAGTAATTCAAAACGGCTAAGATATTACTTAATCACATATATTAAATTAAAGAAGTTGGCCAAAAAACAAAATTAAAGAAACTAATTATATATTTTTAAAATTAAAATAAAAAAACCTCTCCCGACGAAATTTCTTCGGCGCAAATCTATCCCAGCGACATTTGTTTTATTTGACCTCTACTGACGAAATTTCGTCGACAAAGGTAACTTTCGTCAGGAGATTGTAATTCGACAAATATTTGTCGGCATATACCTATGCCGACGAAATTTCGTCGGGAGAGGTGTTTTCTGAGTTTTCTACAGGGTATAGCTAGGCGGCTATACTTTAAAATATTCTTTTTTGGGGTATAGCCGTGCGGCTACACTGTTAAGATATTATATTTTTAGCGTATAGCTGGCCGGCTATACTAAAAAATATTTAAAAAATTATATTTTGAAGTATAGCCGGACGGCTATTCATATTTAAGGAGTATAGCCGCCCGGCTATACAATTTAAAAGCCTAATAGAATATTTTGAAGGTATAGCCGTGCGGCTACACTCGTTGATTATATTATGTTTAATTACTTTTATTTATTTAGTAAAGAATTAGTATTTAAGTATTTTAATTAATTTCATTAAAATTATTTAATAAAAATTATTCAATTATATTTAATGATCTTAAATAATTTTGTGGAATTTAAAATTATTTTAAAAATAGTTTCAATTAATTAAAAATTCTAGAAAATTATTTTCGTATTCTAAAAATGGAATTTTAGTCTCCAAACCAAAAATCCAAGTGTCAAACCAAATACCATAACTATTGAACTTATCCGAACTTGTTTCAAAACCGTTCGCAAGCCTTAAACCCTAATTGTAAACCTACTGTAGGGCACTTAGAACTCGATTAGGGTTGGATAATCACGTAACTCGATCTAGGGCTTTTCACTCTCAATCTTGGGTAAGTATGATGTAACCGAACCTAACCTAAACATGTCTCGGCGAATTTTGTCGGGATAGAAAAGATGGGACTTGGGATATGGGGAAATTTAATTAAGACACCCAAACGAAAATAAGTAATTTATTTTTTTCGTTTTTACACAGCATAATTAAATCAGTAACATATTTAAATATTCACTAGGAAAGATTCTAAAAAAGATTTTTATTTATTTATAAATTTAGAATGGAAAATATTTGAATTTTTAATTTTACCTAACTAAATAGGTATTGTTCCCAAAATTTCATTACAATGAGATTTTAGATAGGGAAAAACACAAACTTACCATAACTATACAACCACGCCGTTATCATCATGGCCACCGATGTCGTTGATCAATACCTATTACCAATGAAACAATTTTAAAATTATAGTGATCTCTTATTATAAAATTGTATCTCTTTATTTTATTGATTTTTTGGGTATAATAGATTCCAAATTCTTACGATTTTCGACTGTTCTTGCAAATAAAATATATATCTTCAAGCTAAGGAAAAAGACTTTGAAATGCATTTGTTTTGATCTAGTTAACTTCATAAGAATAGCAAGTATGAAAGTTTTTGGGTGTGACAATCACACTGCCACATGATGCTAATTCACCTATTATAATATTAGAATAATTGACATTTTATGAACCATAGGATAATATTAGTGTGACAAGAATTTGGGTAGCTGAGACCACTAGTCTGCAAGTTAAGACTCTTTTTCACTGGGCTAGACCCTATTAACATAGAGTGTTAAATTTTAACAATCTACATAATTTGAAATTGTTGTGGGAGAGAAGCACAAGTAGTGGACTAAAGATGGAGAAGTGTGGGATATCAGCTCGGTATAAAATGGGTTATTTGATGCAGCAGAAGTTTGAGCAAAACGAAAAGATATACGTTGAAATAAATTTCAAGCTATGTTGATTCTAAGAATACCTAGAACAAAGAGAAAGGATAGGTTTCCAAGCTTTGTTGATTCTAAGAATACCCAAAACAAGGAGAGTGTAGTTCTCAATTGTAGAGAAAAAAGCACTTATCCTCGGAAGGAAAATAACTTGGAATTTAGCTAAAAGTCAGAAATTTAAGAGGAGAAATTGACAATTCTCTTGTTTGACAAGCACAAAATTTAGTAAATGGCGTGTGGAAAAATGCATGAAAATTGAGGCATCAAATTTCCGAGTTTAATTTCCACTAAAATAGGCACCATTTCACAATTTCCATAGAGACATTTACAAAATTCGACATACATAAATCCAAACACTGAAATCTTGAGTTGCCAGAAATTGAAATGATGAAAATCTAAATTCCGTTATTTTAGAATTCTATGTAATTTTGCAATTCATTTATCTAAACGAAGGGGTAGAGAAAATCTCAATTTCATTCAATAATCATATCATCAACTTACTGCCCTGGAGTCTTCTAGCCAACCAGGTTTAATGGCCAACACAAAATAAACGTTTGACCCTTGGACTTCTAAATATTATTACAAGACAACACTTAAACAATAATTAAAATATTATTGTAATATTTAAATAGTAATTAAAACGAACGTGGAAAGGCTTCGGATGTGGATAGACTATTAGGATGTAATATTTAAATAGTAATTAAAACGAATGTGGAAAGGCTTCGGATGTGGATAGACTATTAGGATAAAATTTATTCATCATGCATGGATCATTCATATGCATGAATCAATCTTAACTCCATCATTATTACATTTGTTTTAAATCTAAAGCATAAAAGCCATAAAAAGCCATCAGAGGATTACAAACAAAAGTCCGTAAAGAGTCCGCAATTTAGCCTTCTCTAATGTAGAAGCCCCTTATAATTTATAAGGGTCTTACGCATGACATTTTAGGATGAGTATGCCACTTATAATTGGTACCTTTATTTTTCCCAATTTTTTGTTATAAAGTTATGGAGAAAGCTTAATTAAGATATCGATTCGAAGACTTTTTAGCCTCACAAAGATAAAGACATGCATAGTATTACAACAATCACAATACATAAGTAGAATAATGGAGGAGATTGATCGAATAAATCTATAGGGGGGTGGGTTTCTCACTCCTTTTTTTTCACTTACACTCCTTTTTGTTTTTTTAATAGTTTTTACTATAAAAAAGGAAGACAAGTGTAAGTGGACAAAAAAAGAGCGAGAATATACAATTTCTAACAAAGAAAGTGTAAGTGGACAACATATGAGTGAGAAAATCAGCTCCTTTTATTAAAACATTTTCTCTATTACGATGACAAAGTACTTGTCTATTATTTCTTAACAAAGGAAGTGCAATGTAAGTGAACAAAGTACTTGTAACAAATGTAGCTAAGACAATTGCATGGCTTCATCAACATTTTACATTTCCCGTCAACACATTCGGTAGTTCCCGAAGGACATCTGATTCCTGCGCAGTTGTTCGTGTTGGAACATTAGTCGTTTTGATTTTGGAGGCGAGAGCCGGACTTGTCTGATGATGTTGCTGGGTTCATGTGTATGCATATGCATTTCCCGTTATGACATACAGCCTTGCCCCATGGACAGTCTTCTGCAGTGTCTCTGCAGTCAGTGCTACTTCTGCAGGGCGCATGGTAGTCATTGATATTAATATCTGCGACTTGGCATGTGCACAAGTGGTTAACGCAAAGACCAAAGCTTGAGGTGCATGGAAATAACTTGCAGTCGTCATTACTATAACATATTTTGACGGGCTTGGCTGCTTCAGCTCCTGCTGGTACCCTTGAGATTGAGAATAACGGTGCACCTGCAAAAATTATAAGAGTTTCATTTCTATAAATACAAAAATTATATGGGAAAGAGAAATTAATTAATAGTGAGAAAGAACTCACAAATGGCCAAGCAGATGATCATCCAGCTCCTCATGGCTGCCTTCATTAGATGTTTTTCTGTGTGACGTGGGATTGATGCGATCCAATTCAAAGTGTGGTTTGGTTTGGTTCGTTTTGCACTATAGTAAGGAGCCCCGTGGGCTATATTTATACTATAGGAGTGTCGACATTTGTGGTAGTTATAATACAAATTTATAAATAAACCCAATCCTAAACATGCATTTATAAAAAAAACCCAAGCACTATTTAAACATAAAAACACACCCAAAATCAACCCCAAAATCAACAATTGTATATTTTTTGGGTGTGTTTATAAATGGGTTTTGAGTGTGTGTAATGATGGGTTTTGGGTGTGTTTATAAAGTGTTTTGGGTGTTGGGTTTTTTTATAATTTCAGCCCCCATTTTGGGTGTTTTAGTGAAACTCCCTAGTTATAACGCCAGAGAAATCTAATATGTAATTTTTCCAAACTTTGTGGAAAATAATATGAAATTTCCAGATAATACAGTCCAACTTTTGGCTTTGATAATATGGATTATCTTTAGGGAGATTCACTATTATACCCAATATAGGGGCCCAAATTATAAAAATACCCCATATGAAATGGACTTTAGAACCACACTCAAAGCCCATTTACAACATAACAAAGAGGCTTTTAATTTTTTATAAATTACAAAACTGCCATCAATTTCTTAAAACAAGCATAACCCCAAAATCTCATAAAAATACCCAAAACACTCAATAGGGCATCAAAGTAATTTAATAATCAATATTAAATTCAATAAGACCAGCTTTCATTTTTTGGATTTGTTTATAGAAATTCAATGGTGTATGATTTATCTATAATATTAGTGCTAAGAATTGGTATATCACTAAATATCTCTTATCTTTAATCCTGTTAACTAATCAAGAAATATATCATCCCTTAATAGGCATTTCTGTATACGTCGAGTCTCGAGTGCAATGAACCCCACACTAATACATGTGCTTTTATTGCTAGGCATTGCCCATATCAAGACATTCGATAGTTCCTAAAGTTCACGGAATTCCTGTGCAATCAGCCGAATTGGAACACTGATCCTCATTTGGATGTGCAAGTCCAGTATTTGGGAGTAGGCATTGGCAAAAGTTGTCAAAACAAATCTTTGTGGATGAACCACATGGAAACACTCACATGATGCAATGACTAATAAGACGACAGCTGATGACAGCAATCTTAGATGTAGCCTTCTCCATGTCTTTCTTTTTTTGTTGAAAAGGTTTAACCATTTGGGCTATATTTTATTGAGTATTTTGGGTTTTTATGAGGTTTTGGGGTTGGGTTTGTTTTAAAAAATTGATGGCAGTTTTGTAATTTATAAGAAGTTAAAAGCCTATTTGTTATGTTGTAAATGAGTTTTGGGTGTGTTTCTATAAAGTCCACTTCATATATGATATTTTTATAATTTGGGCTCCTACATTAGATATAATAGTGAATCTTTTAGATAGAATATCATTAACAAAAGTCAAAAGGCTCGATATTCATGTAAAAATAGCAATTCATATAAATAATGTGCAAATTATGTGGTGATTCCTTCACAGTGTTTTCGGTTATAAGTCAGTTAACCTCGATATTGGAAAAAAACCAATATTTGGGTAATGGCAATCCTTTAATTTCCTTGTTGGCATAATCAACCAGGAAATCTTAAAATCCAACATGGAAAAGAATATGAAGTTTCAACGTATTACATTCCGCAACTTTAAATTATACGTAATTATATAGATATTATTTCCAAAATTCTATTATAGTGAGATTTTAATTAGAAAAAAAAGCTAAACCTACTAAATATATTACCACCATGGCAGGATGTCGTTGGTTGTTACCTACCACAGGATTACTATCGCCAATAAAACAATTTTAATTATATTGATATCTTAGTATAAAATTGTATCTTTTCTTTTTTCTGCATGTCAATGGAGATTCAAGTTTTTATTTATTTTTATTTATTTTCAATTTTCGGTGTTCTTTTATAGCAAATATATTACGTCTTCAAGATAAGGAAAAGAATTTGTGATGTCTTTGTTTTCATGTAGTTTACTCATTACTAGTAGTAGTGTTGCTATTTTCACTCTCTTTCCTATTTCCCCATCTATTTTATCTTCAAAATTTTAAAGACAACTTTACCTCTTTGTAAAATAACTTCTAAGGACTTGTGGAAAAAAATGTCAACTCACCTAACCTGCCTATTCTTTAAAAATAATTTTTAATTTTAAAACTAAAAATAAAAATAGCAAATTCGACCCAATTCATCAGAGTGAATCAAAAAAGCCAAAACTCGACGAAGACAATAGCCAAACCAGATCCACCTCCCTCTGAATATGACACCAAGGCAACGACAAGACAAGGACAATACGGGGATGTGAAGATAGAAGCGGTAATCGTGAGCTGCCACACCAGAGGAACAAAACGAGACATAAGGGAACCATAAGGATCGAAGAGAAAGATGAATCAACGCTAACTGAGTCGGCGATAGGATGAAAAGGGAGGACGATGATGACAATGCGAGTTGTCAAATCAAGGAGGACGACGATGGCGGAACGTGGGGAAACCTTAATCTTGACACACGACTCTCCTTGCGTAGCGAGAGAGAGACCTCATCGGCTTAAAATGTGTATTGTAGAACTTTATGTGTGTAGCATATATATATTAGGGAAGAGCCTCATGAACAAGGAAAATTGAGAGATAGGAATGTGTGGAAAGATAGGAAGATAAGGTGGGTATTTTACAAGGGAGGAACCAGATCAAGGAGGGTCAACCTTAAATAATAAAATCATCGCAAAACAAGATAAATTTATCTAATAATACAAAGTCTTTAGTAATAACTCATATATGTCATTCTAATACATTCACAATCGTTCATCTCTTGAAATATTTTCATAATCACTTCATTATCAATAATATCAAATTTATAATTCGGATAATAAAGAAATCATATAAACATTATTGTTCTTAATTTGAGATAATAAAGAATCATAAATAAATAAAAGTGGTTTTGGGTTAGTAATTCTTAAGTTATTAAAAAAAGTAAAGAGAAAAAAAGAAAAAGAGGAGAGCTATAACAACTTGTGGAACTTCAGTCAGAAGGGTCAACAAAGAAGGTTTTGTTAGTGTGTTTTCACGGTTATGGCGAGGTACGGCAAGGGTGTCAATAAAGGAGTTTGGGGATGGCCGATTCCTTATGCGCTTTGGAAATCTAAAGGACAAGCTCAGGGTTTTGGATATGGAACCCTGGACGTTCCGTGACTGTTTAGTGGATCTCGCAAAGGTGAAACTAGGTATGGATGCCAGACGAGTTGAATTGGGACAAGCTATTTTCTGGGTGTAACTTCATGACATTCCGTTGCTGAACATGACCACTATGGTGGCTTGCAAAATAGGGTCATTAATAGGGCAAGTGGTGGAAGTTGATTAGGCAGAGGGGGATAAATGTATTGGGCGCTTCCTTCGAGTTCATATTAGAATCCCTATTGATTAACCTTTGATGCGAGTAGCATTCCCGGCTTTTCCAGATGAAGGCTTCATTTGGTACACTTTTGCTATGAATATCTCCCTGAGTATTGCTTTATTTGTGGGTGTTTAGGACACCCTAGTAGATTTTGTGTTGAAAAACTCGACGACCAACATGGGGATAAAGTGGTGACCAAGGAAAGCTTGTTGGCCTTTGCTGAGCTGGAGGCTGAGGAAGACATGAGCGGCATGAGGCTTCGATCTAATAGGAGATGATCACGCACTGGTTCTTCCTCAAGCCCCTTGGAGAAAGGACCGGGAAGCAATGGTCACCGGCTATAGGATTCCGTGGGATATAGGAGGAGTAATAGGTCTTGGCGTAGAGATGAAAGGGGTGATGGTGGCAATGTAACATCCCACATCGACCAACAGAGAGGGGGTGATGTGCTTTATATGTACATGACCGCCTTCATCTAGCACGAGGCCTTTTGGGAGCTCACTGGCTTTGGAGTCATGGGAACTCCGAAGTTAAGCGAGTTGGGGCTAAAGCAATCCCAGGATGGGTGATCCACTGGAAAGTTGCTCGTGAGCTCCCAGAAACAAAACCGTGAGGGCAGAGAGAAGAGGCCCAAAGTAGACAATATCGTGCTACGGCGGAGCCGATCACGGGATGTGACAGACAATCATTTATGGAATGAACACATAAGTTGAGACCTTAAGGATACAGCTTCGGCCCTGGGCAAGTCCAAAGATCAAGAGTCCTCCCTGGCCGATAGGATTCGCCGTCTACTGGAGGAGGAGGAATGTGAACATAGAGTTAGAGAGGAGGTATGGAATGCGGGCATCCTAGGAAGGGGGGTGAGTCGATGCCTCTAGCTGGAGATGTCACATCTTGCATGCAAGAGTTGTCATCCAATGGTTTACAAGCTCAAGCAAGTTTGGAGGAAGGTAACAATGAAACATTTATCGTATTTGAAGAGAATGGGTTGGTAATTGATCTAAATGTTGGTATGACGTTGGGGAATGAAACTGAAGTGGTAGAGGGAGTTGTCTAAAGTAAGCATGCACAGACTGTAGAGTTGGGTCAAATCATGCAGGTACAACTTGTTAGTCTTACACAAGGGTCTGATCTGTATAATTTGGGCCCACTCATTGCCCGGACACAACCGCATACTATGTTCAATAGGAAAGAAGTGATGGGAAAAAGAAGACGGGAGGAGTCGGAAGGGATTGTCAGGGAGAAAAGGTCACGAGTAGAGGACACCGCTCATGTGAGGTGGAGTGGTAGTACAGCCACGAACAAGGAATTACTTTTTACAGACAATTACAGTCAGGCAATGGAAACCGACCTTAACAAGTCTCCACGAGCGCCATGAGGATCATTGTTTGGAACTGTCAAGGGATGGGGAGTGCCCTGACAGTTCCTAGCATAAATGAGCAGGTTAAGCTCCAAACTCCCGACACAGTGGTTCTGCTCGAAACAAAAAATAGGAGTAATTGCTGTGAGTTTTTATAACGTCAGTTAAGGATGATGCATATGCATGTAGTGGAGCCACGTGGTTTAAGTAGGGGACTCTGTATGTTTTGGCGTGACATGCAAGTTGTAGTTTTGGTGAAGTATGATGGGTTTTTTTATTTTATTGAGGTGGTTGTGTAAGATGATGACAAATGTTGTCAGTGGAGATTTTTTGCAATCTATGCAAGTACGGAGGACCGTATTAGGAGAACTCAATGGCAAATATTACAAGAGCGAGTGTCTCGCTGTCAGGAGGCGTGCCTTGTGATGGGAGATTTTAATGATATATTGGATGCTTCTGAAAAAGTGGGAGGTGTAACACGTACAGTGAGAAGTATGTTAGATTTTCGCACCTTTGTCACTGATAACAGGTTACTTGATCTTGGATTCATGGGCTACCCCTTCACATGGAGGAACCGACGACTCGACTGGGGCATACAAGAGAGGCTTGATAGAGGTCTTGCAACAGATCAATGGATAAATTTATACCATGATGCCAAAATTCATGATCTCATGGTTGCGGGTTCTGACCATGTCATGTTGTTATTACAAACTCAAGGTGAGCCAAGGAGATGGCGGAGACGTTTTATCTATGATCCGCAATGGAACAGAACTGAAGGGTTTTGTCAGTTAGTTAAGGACAGATGGGGGAAACCTTTTCGTGGCTCTTGGAGTTTGCAAGTGGTCTATAAACTTCAATGGGTCAGAAAAGGAATCCTTCACTAGCGCAGAAGCGAGTGGCGGAACTCATGAGTTCGTATTGCTACACTCCGAGGAGATTTATGCACGGCTTATCAGGATTCTAATTTTGGTGGGGTACGAGTGCGGCAGTTGGAGTCTGAACTGAAAACTACTTTGCGTGAAGAAGAAGCTTACTGGAAGCTTAAATCTCGGGTTCAATGGCTGTAGGAGGGGGAAAAAACACAAAATTCTTTCATTCTAAGGTGCTGGTACGACGGAGAGCTAATTGGATGCTTGGCTTGGAGGACAGTGCTGGGAGGTGGTGTGAGGGGGAAGGGGAGATCAAGGCTATACCCTCTTTTTTTAATTTATTTTTAATAAGAGTATAGCCACGCATCTATACTCTTTTTGACACATGGCGCCTAGGCATTGTGTGGGTCCTCTATATATATAAATAGTATAGGTGTTTTTTGACAACTAAAAGTGCTTATGATAGCGTTTGACAGAAAAGTTTAAAAGCGCTTTCTGGAGAAGCACCTATCATGTGCTTCTTTTGGAAGCACCAAGCGCTTTTCTAGGAAGCACAAAGTGCTTTTCCAAGAAGCACTTTGATTTCTTATGAAAATTTCAACGTCTTTATAGTAAAAGCGTTTTTGCTAGAAGGTAAATTTCAATTGATTTTTCTTTTGAAATAATCAATTATTAATAAGAACCTGATAAATTTCCAAAAATACTCAGAAAATTCTTCCTATTAAAGGGTGTTATTATTATTATTATTATTATTATTATTATTTGATACGTGGTGTTTTTAATATTCTTTTTTAGAACAAAGGATGTTTTTATTCTTAATGAGTTAAAACAATATCTATTAGTTAGGTAAAATTAAAAATGAAAACAATTTCCATTTTAGATTTAAAGAAAATTTTCTTTTTTAGAACTTTTCCTATTGAAAGGGGCGATAACATATTAAAAAATTTCTTATTGATTATACCAAATAAGGAATCTCATTTATTAATTTGACGAAATGATTTCCTTGTTGATTATACTACGTAAGGAATCACTTTTATTAATTTAACGAAATTTACAAACTAAACCCCAAACCAAATCAAACCATACATGCATCAAGAAGATATCCCAAATAACTTCAAAATGAATTAAAATTTGGCATGCTTCTCTTGCGTTAATCATGCATGGATTCGGATCCTCTGCTATGATTTTCTTTGCCATGATCTCCTTTACTTTTGTTATCCATATGACACCTCATTAAATAAGCGTTCAATTTTAACAATCTATATAATTTAAAATTGTTGTGGGAGAGAAGCACAAGTAGTGGACTAAAGATGGAGAAGTGTACGATATCAGCTTGGTATAAAATGGGTTATATGATGCAGCAGAAGTTTGAGCAAAACGAAAGATATACGTTGAAATAAATTCCAAGCTCTGTTGATTCTAAGAATACCCAGAACAAAGAGAAAGGACAGGTTTCCAAGCTTTGTTGATTCTAAGAATACCCAAAACAAGGAGAGTGTGGTTCTCAATTGTAGAGAAAAAACACTTGTAGAGAAAATCTCAATTTTATTCAATAATCATATCATCAACTTATTGCCCTGGAGTCTTCTAGCCAATCAGGTTTAATAGCCAACACAAAATAAACGTTTGACCCCTGGACTTCTAATTCTAAACATTGTTGAAGGGAATGTAAGTGGATAAAAGATGAGTGGGAACATCAACACCCTTTATTAAAACATTTTCTCTAAAATATCCACTTGCTTTGAATTAGCGCTAAGGGTGGGCACGGTCCGGTTTGCAGCTCACACCGGAATCAGAACCGATTTAGGTACTATTCATCCGATCTGGTCCGGTCCTGGTTTGAACCAGTTCTCTAATAAGTCACATACACAGTAGACAATAAGAAAAAAAAACATAAATTTGGTTAAACAATTCTTACTTTTATGCTAAAAATATTCTAATTTTCCTTCCATATTCTCAGATGGCTCGACATAAAAATAATCCCAAACAATCAGATCTAATGAAACTCAACAAAAAAAAAGAATACAACACCAGATCTAATGAAACCACACAAAAAAAAATGAATACAACACCAGATTTCTCCTTGCATGAGGCTTTGATGCTTGAATCTAGTCCTAGGATCTTCGTTACCAGCATATGAAGAAGGCTTCATAGCAAGAACTCCTTTCATCCTCTTCATCAGATCACGCAGAGACAGAGACAGAGAGAGTGAGAGAGTGAAGTTGCAGAGAAGAAAAGAAAAAAAAGGGCAAAGAGAGAGTGAAGTCGCAGAGAAGTAGAAGAAAAAAGAAGAAAAGAATAGGGAACAGAAGAAAGGAAAGAAAAGGAAAAAAGAGGGAGAGAGGGAGAGAGAGAGAGAGAGAAGTCAGCAGAAGAAGAAGAAGAAAAAAAAAAAAAAAAAAAAAAAAAAGAAAAGAAAAAGAAGAGAAAGGAAAATAGGGAGAGAGATCAGAGAATGACAAAAAGATAAAGAAGACCAAAAAGAAGAAGGAGGAAAAGAAAATAAATGGGAGAAAAGAAAAGAAATGGGGAATTGGGAGGGAGAGAGAGAGAGAGAGACAAAAAGAAAAAGCTGACCAAAAAGAGAGCAGCTCCTTGGGAATTAAGAAGAAAGGGAAAAATAGAGAGAGTTTAAGTGGGATTGGAATGGGCTTTGAAAATAAAAGGTACATGGGTTTTAAAGTTGGGCTTGTTATTTGGGTTAAGTGGAATTAGGCTTAAGTATAAGATATTTTGAAACAAATAAATAAAAAATTAATATAACCGGTCCGGTTCGGTTCTGTGACATGTAAAATTGAAACTAGAATCGGTTCAAATCGGTCCGGTCCAGTTCGGTGTCAATTTGTTGACTTTTTTAGTCAACCGATTTCTTTTCCGATTTTTTTTATTCGATTCGGTTCGGTTTTCCGGTTTTCTGGTTCCAATGCCCACCCCTAAGTAGTGCTCTTAGTGAAAAAAAATGTAGCCCTCCACACCCTTCAGCCGCACCAAGGGGGGGACGTGGTCTTTGCCCCCCATCTCCCTTATTTTTCCCTCATCTCTTCCTCCTCTCTCTTCCCTCTCAACCCCTCTTCCTTTTCCTTTTCCTTCTCCATTTCCTCATATGCTAGGGATTGGAGTTTTGGTTTGTAATAAGGCTTTTTGTTGCCCAGATCCACATGGATCTTGATTTTGTTTTGTTTTTTGTTTTTCTGTTTTCGGTTGTAGTTAGAGGCGGCGGCACCCACATCGGTGGGGCGGCAGGGTTGCTATATTGGTTTGTAGCCGATGTTGAAGTAGCCACCGGGAAACACCATTGTTGCCATGATTTATTTGTTGCTTTTGGTCTACATACATAGGGTTTTGGCTCTACTTCAGAGTTTGGAGTTACAATCATGGAAGTTGTCGTTTTGTGTGGGCTAGGGTTTAGCCGCTGCGGCACTAAGGGTTTAGCCGGTATGGCATTATGGGTTTCTTCCGTTGCCGGAGACAATGTGGATCGGTGGTCCTTTTTTTTAGTCTATTATCACTCTTTAGGAGTTTAATTGCTTTATTTTATTTTAATTCTCAGTAACTCTTTAAGAGTTTGTTGTGTTTTGTATTTTAATTTTCGGCTATGATATGGATCTGCCATTTCTGCTGTTGCGCCGTGAATTTGTATTGTTAGTTTGAGTACAAACACGTTGGGCTACTGAATCAAGGGTTTGAGTATTTGTTGATTTAGGCGTAATTCTTTACATATCAAATCAACATATTGTTGTGTTTGGTCATTGGAGATATTGTACCCATTTTGACACTCTTGTGGCTTTGTACTTGTTCTGTTTCATTAATAAATACTATCTTTTTTTCCAAAAAAAAAAAAAAAAAAAAACAAAAAAAAAACATTCTCTATTACTATGACAAAGTACTCGTCTACTATTTCTTAGCTAGGACATGGAACAAAGTACTTGTAACAAATGTAGCTAAGACAATTGCATGGCTTCATCAACATTTACATTTCCCGTCAACACGTTCGATAGTTCCCGAAGGACATCTGATTCCTGCGCAGTCGTTCCTGTTGGAACATTGGTCGTTTTGATTTTGAAGGCAAGAGCCGAACTTGTCTGATGATGTTGCTGGGTTCATGTATATGCATATGCATTTCCCGTTATGACAGGCAGCCTTGCCCCATGGACAGTCTTATGCAGTGTCTCTGTAGTCAGCGCTGCTCCTGCAGGGCGCAGCATAGTCCTTGATATTAATATCTGCGACTTGGCATGTGCACAAGTGGTTAATGCAAAGAGCGTAGCTTGAGGTGCATGGAAACAACTTGCAGTCATCGTTACTATTACATCTTTTGACGGGGTTGGCTGCTTCAGCTCCTGCTGGTACCCGTGATAATAATGGTGCACCTGCAAAAATTACAAGAGTTTCATTTCTGTAAATACCAAAATTAGGGAGCTTTAGTTATTAATTTCCGAATTCTGCGGTGCTTTCTTTTACAGTGTGTTTGGTGATGAGGAAATTAAACTTCATACTTATTAACGATTCAGGATTTGGGAATCATAATCTCTAATTTCCTTGTTTGGTATCGTTAACAAGGAAAACATATGAGATTTTCTGGGAGTAATTCTTGGTTTAATCGATCATGAATGCTTATAATTTTCGATATCTCTGCCAGATAAAACTTCTTCAAAGACAAACATATGGGGAAAGGATTTTCTTTAAGAATAAAAACTTCCTCTGTTTTTTTATTCTCTTTTCATTTTTCTGTATTATTTTTGTGAAGGAAAACCCAACCCGGGTCTAGTCTAGTAATTGGATTAAACTCATGGGCAGGCAAAATACCAAGTTTATAAAGATCATACAAAACAACAATACTGTCTTCTTGTTGTCCTTATATTAAAATACATAAACAATTCCCTTGTCGTAAATCTGCATCCTAAGAAACAAGCTTTAATATTTTAAATGGTTGCGGCCAGCTTATTGTAAATGGCCCACATCAGCAGAGCCATGGCTGAAGACATGGAAGCCATGGAACAGAGTCCAAAGATCCTTGCAATGACGGGCTTGTTGCGGATGATCATCAACGCGGTAAATGCACCGGAGAAAGCTAAGATTATGGAGAAGCCGAAAGCACAAAAGATGGATGGAAGGCCTTTAAATAGTATAGTCAGAATTGCTGCTTCGTTTATGTATTCATGGGGAACTTGGATGAAAAGAGTGGCCGTTGCCAAACAAACACACAATATGAACTCTAGTATTGTAGTGAACTGGATCGGTGGCGGGCTTGATAATACCACCAGCGGAGTGATGAGAACTGCGTTCACCGCCATATCCTTCTGCGCATGTCGTTGACAGGGGAAGATCAAGGACATGTAATTTTGAAAGACACTTACTTGTGCTTGCATATGTTTTTATAGTACTTGGGTATGAGCAATGTCATGGAAATAAGGCAGCATCTTCCAGGAAATTAGAAAGTAACTTGAGAAGTTTCGTTTGACGTTGATATGTTCATGAGCTGGCTAGGAAGCTGCTGTGAACTTGCGGAAAGGAAATGTAGGAGAAATTATATCATAAGAAAAAGGTAAAAAAGAAAGGCAAAGGGGTCGGTCAATCAATCCTTTTTTTTTGGGGGGGGCAAAGAGGTTTTAGACCCACCACCGAAAGATTCCAGAATGGAAAATTGGATAAGTACTCGTAAAAGTTTTTGGATGGGAAGCCTCAGGGTATAAGTTTGGCCAAAATAATCATGCTACTTAACAAATTGAAGATAATAGATCTAGATGTGAAATGTATATGGAAGTAATTACAACTCGAGAAATTTATAATAAAACTTATTTCTTGCTTTGAATTTATAAATCCTAAAATCTTTAAATTGAAGAAAAACATCCAAAAAAGGGTCGGTTGTAATAATTTTTTATATAATTTGAATAATACGTGAAATATCACTATTATCCTTGTATTATAATTTTTAAAAAGAAAACAAAAATATAATAATGGCATTGTTGTAATTTTAAGGGTTATCAATGCTTGTATGTATATTCAGTCCATTTGAAAAGTCAAATGTGTTTTTTCTAAGATTTGGGTATTGTTGAGAAAAGTCGGTGAAGGAAAGGACAAGGAAGATTCAATGTTCACACGCCATGATGACCTGCAGCATGTTAATTAGTGGGATCAATTGAGTCACCGTTTCTCTTCACTCCACTCTGAAACTTCTGAGAAAAATCATGGCTCCCCATGTTTCTTGTGTTCTCTTTGCCTCATTATAAAAGGAAAAGAGACACAAAACATTACATCCACTTGAAAGGGAACACTAAAACGTCTATGCAATATGCTGGTGTTTCCTTATTAATTTCCATGACTTCTCCAAGCTCTCTGCCATTATTTTCCCTTGTCACAACAATCAAGCTTGCATTCTATAATGTACTGTCCTGTTTCTGGCCTCGTTCAGAGGCTCCACCAGTGAGAACCCTGACTCGTTCCACGAGAATAATGAGTTACAGGGTGCTCGAAAGCTGGTGGAGCTGGTCTGGTCATCAAGCAGGGGATTGCTTACCAATTTATCTCCATGGTTGTCAAATTGAGGTGCAAAGTTACCAATCAAAGGCTCCACTTAGCTTGGGGAAGACAGTCCTCGGTCTCACATTCCAGGCCATTGTTGGCTTGACTCTTGCATCTAATCCAGGCCAACCTGATCAGGATCAGGATCAGCCACATTTGCTGGCCTTGCATATGGTTGGAGTGGCTATGGTGATTGCTTTTGCAGCTTGTTTCTCTGCCATTTTTCTAACGCGTGCCTATCCAAGGGCTGCAAGCCTCATTGAAAAAATTGGGTCTGTTTCTGCTGCGCTCGGGTTTTTCCTAATGACAAGTATTTTCCTCTCAGATATCTTCATATGGATTTGCTGGCTAGCGTGTGCTTTTTCCTTACTAGCCTTTACCTTAGCCTTAACCCTTAAATCTTAACTACTAGATAGTTTAGTATTGTGTAGTAGTGTAAACTGCCATCGTTTGATACCACAAAAAAAAAAAAAATCCAACAAAAAAAAAACCAATCCATCCACCCAAAAAAAACCCCCCCACCCAAAAAAAAAAAAAAAAAAAAAAAAAAAAAAAAAGTCGGGGGGGCACATAACTAACCCCCCCAAAAAAAATTTTTTTTTTTTTTTAATTAAAAACTAAAAACTCCCCCCCTTGCCCCTTGTACTTTTTATTTTACTTTAGCCGGTCCCAAGCCCGGAAGAAAAGGAGGAGGGTTTCTAACACACAGCATTGATTTAACTTTGAAATAAATTTTTATGTATGGTGAAATTTGTCCATATTGCTTTCTATAAATGAAATTTTATTCCCTGGTTTGCTTTGGAGAGCGAACATAATTTGCCTTTTATTCGTCAGAGAGCCATTTCATTAGTGTTAGTTTAAGAGAGGAGATTTAGAAAATGATTGATGGTATTTAGGACAACAGCTTAACTTTAAAAGAAAAACTTTTAAAAGAGTAACAAAATAGTTTTATTTTATTAATTGAAATAAGAAGGGTACAAGGCTCTAGAGTTGGTTGGGTGCAAGGGTTGGCTGATGGGAGAGTTAGACAGCTGTGGTTTGCAGCTTTCTTACTTGAATACATAATTGGGTTGCTAGCTATATGTATATATATATAGAGTAGCTAAGTCAAAAGTCGGTTGCTCATGCAATTGACTTTTCCAAAGTCATTTTCAGCCACAATTTTTCTCCTTATTCTAGATTTCTCTAGTTATAATATATGGATATTTCTAGTGATTTTAACTTATCTACTTTCTCTCCAATTTTCTAGATTTTTCTATATTATTCAAGACCTTTCTATATTATTCTAGTACAAGTGTGCATTATTTTTTTAACAATTAGAAAACATTACACTCTTGGAATAACTTGAGCAAAGAATAAGAATTGTATCAGCGTTGAGGTAGAGGCCTAAAGCCCATGTTCACATTGAACCGGGCCGGGCCATGCTCGTGCCGTGCCCATGCTCATGAACCAACCCATTTAATTTGAAGTTTTTTCACTTGATTTATTTTTTTTCACTTGATAATTCAAATTATAAACATTAAAAATATAATTAGTGGCAATAAATGATGAATTATTTGAAAACATTAATCAATCAAACATCCAAACAATATAAAAGGCGGAGAGCAAAAAGTGTACAACTCCACAAAGTCCACTTCAACTTTTCATCTTTAAACAACTTATTATTTTATATGTGAAGAAATGTCTTGCTTTGATTATAAGATAAGCGTATATGTCATATGTACTGATTAAATATCAAGTCCAATGTTGTTAAATTAATTTTTAGTTGATATGTTTAATTAATTAAGGATCCAAGAAATTTCCCTAATATGAAAGACATAAAATATATGTTTATGATTATAAAAAATAAAAAAACCATATAAACAATGATATTAGATGTCAAATTTTTGCATTTTGACATTTGAGAAAGAAAAAAAAAGTTAAATGGGTTGTGCTTGAAGCAGGCTTGGGCTCGTGCCGTGCTTGAAGCGGGCTTGGGCCATTGGACCTCATTTTTTATCCAGACCCAGCCCAAGTTTTCGTATCGTGCCGAGCATGGCCCATTATTATTCATGCTCGTGCTGTGCCGTGCCTCATTTAAACGGGCTGGGCTCGTGCCGTGTTGGGCCGGCCTGTCCCGTTTGACACCTCTAGTTGAGGGGTTGGGGCAAAGAATGGGAAAAATGAAAAGGAAGAAAATTGACCAAAAAGAAATAGGAGTCAATAGGTCTCGAGCTTTTTGACCCCTACCAAAGCAAAGAATATCTGTTCAGTTCATACTAAAATGGAGCCGTGAACTTACTTGGAACAAGGACATATGGAAACGTCTACGAGAAGAATCACCCATTTCTCTAGAATTCTCTTTACCTTCTTATATAATGAAAATGGAGAGAAGCTCCAAGAACTTAACAAGTCTTTGCATGTATTTTTGTGTCATGCCATATAATTTACATCCAAGGCCTTCAAATGATCCACCATTTCCGTTCCCCACAGCAATCAAGCTGGCTTTCCGCCATGCTTGTAAGTTGTATGGCTTTATCTCGTTTAATACCAGCTGTTTCACCGAACTTGTGTTCCATCATAAGAGTAAGGTGTCTTACAGTTTCACAGAGGAGGTCCAGAGCATTAGATGACCTACCTGTTTACGTAATTCAATTGACATGGAAATGCAAACTAGCCCAGCACCACAGGCTCCATTGAGTCTTGGGAAGACAATACTTAATCTTAGTTTCCAGGCAGCTTTGACCTTAGCTACACAAAACTCATTGTCTTCGGGGCAAGCTCAGGAGCAGCCTCCTCTGCTTCCCCTGAAGATCGCTAACGTATCCTTCGTTATTGCTTTTGCAGCTTCTTTTACTGGGATATTTCTGCAGCATGCCAGTCCAAGGGCTGCAAAGATTGTTGAGATAATTGGATCCTTTGTAACAGCAATGGGGTTCTTTGTGATGACCAGTCTGTTCCTCTCAGGGAAGTACTTCACATGGATCAATTGTCTAGCTTGTGCATTTTCCATGCTAGCCTCGATTACAGCATTATTTATATGATTTTATAAGCTGTAAAACCTCCACAATGGTGATTTTGTGGAGGCTTGTGGCTTATTTACACAATTTAATGGCACCTCTGATATTTCTGTCATGGTAACTCAACTGTGACAGGGTTGGGTACAATCTCTCCAGTCTAATTTATACACGTTAATCCAATAGAAAGCAACCACTTTGACCCTTACAATTGGTCATAGCGGTTGTGACATGATAACTCTGCCTGTATTGTGCCTCAAGTCCGATCTTTTACACAGCCAGTCCCAAGCCCGGATGAAAGAGGAGGGTCATGTCACACAAATACCATTGGAGCTGAATTACAGATCAGAATTCGGATCGAGCTCACTTCTAAATGTAAGTCATCATACTTCAGAATTTGAGTACTTCAACAGCAATTATATCCAAGCTAGCTAAATCCTTTGTCATTTCTTTTTTTATTAAGTTGATCTTCATACATGAAAATGCACAGTCAATTCTCTTACGCAGCTAGAAACTTGAGACTATTTTCTTCCATATGTTTTTACAAACGGTTCCCTAATTATTTTGCCTAAGTTTGCATTGCTGCTTGATGCAGATGGCTGCAGCAGCTAAAAGGTTCTCATGAATGCTTGAGCCAAAGGAACCATTTCTTTCCAGAGCTCATTCATCTAAAGTTTGTTTAGGTATAAAAAAAGATGTTTCGGGCAGTCCTCCATTTCCTCTGGCCTAGAAGATGTTGAACATATACGAAGAGTTAAATTTCAGGAACACTTGCTCTGTTATTACGCATTGCATTTGACAGGATGCTCTGTTTTTACCCTTTATGATGATTTTTAATTCTCTGTTATTTCCGGAAGCTGATTCTCAAATGTACACCACTCAATTCTTATAAATCTTGTCAGCTTTTAAGATACAGAGTGAGCCAACCATTGCTTGAAATTAAGGCATGAAAGAAAGAAAGAACGATGGCCTTTATTCCTTACAGAAAGATTACAGCCACTTATCAAACTACCGTACTAACTTGAACATTGGCTATTTTGATCTTGCAGGCCATGCGAGTTTACGCATTTGCATTGCCCATCAACACATTCGATATTTCCAGAAGGACACTTAATTCCTATGCAGTTGTTCCTACTGGAACATTGGCTATTTTGATCTTGCAGGCCACGCGAGTTTACGCATTTGCATTGCCCATCAACACATTCGATATTTCCAGAAGGACACTTAATTCCTATGCAGTTGTTCCTACTGGAACATTGGCTATTTTGATCTTGCAGGCCAAGCGAGTTTACGCATTTGCATTGCCCATCAACACATTCGATATTTCCAGAAGGACACTTAATTCCTATGCAGTTGTTCCTACTGGAACATTGGCTATTTTGATCTTGTAGGGCATGCGAGTTTATGCATTTGCATTGTCCATAAACACATTCAATCGTTCCCGAAGGACATTTAATTCCTATGCAGTCCTTCCTTCTGGAACATTGCCTATTTTGACCTGGCGGATCACTCATGGTTACGCATTTGCATTGCCCACCAACACATTCGACAGTTCCTGAATGACATATAATTCCTGTGCAGTCATTCTTACTGGAACATTGGCTATTTTGATCTTGCAGGGCACGCGAGTTTACGCATTTGCATTTCCCATCAACACATTCAATAGTTCCCGAAGGACACCCAATTCCTGCGAAGTCATTCCTACTAGAACATTGGTTCTTTTGATTTTTCAGGACATGCCTGTCTACGCATTTGCATTGCCCATCAACACATGAGATAGTTCCCTTAAAACTATGGTTCCTGCACGTTCATTCGGATAGGAACATTGGTCATATTGGTTTTGCATGGCAGAGCCAGACTCCTCTGTGACTTGGCATGTGCACAAGTGGTTAACGCAAAAAGCAAAGCTTGAGGTGCATGGAAACGACTTGCAGTCGTCGTTACTATTACATCTTGTGATGAGCTTGGCTAATTCAGCTCCTGATGAGAATAAGGGTGCATCTGCAAAAATTACAAGAGTTTCATTTTAAAGACATTTCTGTAAATACAAACATTTTATGGGGAAAAAGAAATTAATTAATAGTAGTGAGAAAGAACTCACAAATGGCCAAGAAGATGATCCAGCTCATCGTGGCTGCCTTCATTAGATGTTTTATTGTGTGTCACCTGGGATCGATCGATGTGATCAATTTGAAGGATTGCGTTGCTTTGCACTGTAGTAAAGTAATCCCTTAGCCCTATATTCATAGGGGTACCCTTACCCTTCACATTTCTGATGTGCTGTCTTTTATAGTGTGTTTGGTGATGGGGAAATTATACTTTATATTTAGCAACAAAATTTGGGATTAAGAATCTTTGATTTCCTTGTTGGATATATTAACAAGGAAAAGAATATGAGATTTACTGGGAGTAGTCTTTGGTTTAGATATTATTTCTAAAATCCCAATACAATTTAAAGAAAAGAACCTGATCTCTTGAAATATATGAGAAAAGATTTGGTTTATATGGATTTTCTTTGACTTATTTAACTAATTAAGAATAAAAACATCTTTTGCTGTAAAAAAAGAATATCCTTTAATAGGAATTTATGTACAGTAAGCTTAAAGGATCCAACACTATGACATATTAGTGAGATCCATCATAATCATCCAATGGTAAGCTTGACATGATTTTATTAGCGAGGCAACATGTTACTATTTTGGAAAGTAATCAGGCTCTTTTTTTTTCTTTTCATCCAAAGGCGATAAAATTTTATTGATAATTACGGATGAAACAAGTACAAAAAAGTCGGACTATATCCTAGAGGATTAGGCGAGCATCTCTACACATAAGGGCGTGTAGTCGTCGGACTACCTAAGTAGCCTACCCTCTCAACCGCTAGAGGGAGAAGGAACTTCACCTCTTATTAGTAATTGATTAAATTATTTCCTCCAAAGTATGTGAACCAAAGGAAGGAATAAGGAACCGTCTCTAGAAAGAAAGAGATGGTTCGTGTGAAGTGTTTTTAAGCTATCCTATCACAGAGATGTTTGGCGTAGAAGATGTTGAACATATTGCATGACAGGATGCTCTGTTTTTCCCTTTATCATGGTTAAAGAGATTGATCGACAAAAACCATATATTTTAAAGACATTTTGTGTATTATTCCTTTGAGAAAGATTACAGCCACTTATCAAACCACCTCACTAATTTTAAATTGCACCTAGCTTTATTAGCTAGGAGATCAAACAAAGTACTTAAAATAAATGTAGGTAAGATTATGCATGGCTTCATCAACGCTAGTTTACGCATTTGCATTTCCCATCAACACATTCGATAGTTCCCCAAGGACACCCAATTCCTGCACAGTCATTCCTACTGGAACATTGGCCGTTTTGGTTTTGCACGGCAGAGCCAGAATCCTTTACGACTTGGCATGTGCATAAGTGGTTAACGCAGAGAACAAAGTCTGAGGTACATGGAAACGCCTTGCAGTCATCGTTACTATTACATCTTTTGAGGATCGTGGCTGCTTCAGCTCCTGTTGAGAAAAATGGTGCACCTGCAAACATTACAAAACTTTCATTTCTGTAAATACAAACATTATATGGGAAAGAGAAATTAATTAATACTGGTGAGAAAGAACTCACATATGGCCAAGCATATGATCATCCAGCTCATCATGTCTGCCTTCATTGGATGTTTTACTGTGCGTCACCTGGGATCTATATGTGATGAATTTGAAGCTTTGCTTTGCTTTGCACTGTAGCGAAGTGATCCCTTCGGCCTATATTTATAGTGTTGGAATTTTTGTGATTATTTCAAAATACAATATATTTGTTATTATTACTATCTTTATTGAATTGAAATTTTAAATATGTGTTAAATGGTGGTTTTTAATTCTTTTAAAGTTGAGATTTCAAAACTTTTTCCTTTTGTATAACGTTGTTCTATTTGATATTATTAATATTGCTTTAATCGATCTTTTGGCAACTTTGTTTTGGATTTTAATGTCTACAATTTTGAGAAAAAACGAGTAGGACTGGCTATGATTTGATTGTACATTAATTTGATATATTCAGATTTGGAATACAATTTAAAGAAAGGAACCTGATCTCTTGAAATATTTGGGAAAATATTTGGTTTATATGGATTTTCTTTGACTTATTTAACTCATTAAGAATAAAAACCTCCTTTGTTGTCAAAAAGAATATTAAAAACGCCACGTGTCAAAAAGCTAAAACGGCGTGGCTATACTATTTTAAAAAAAATTAGGGAAAACGAGTATAGCCGCCCGGCTATACGATTTATAAAAAATAAATAAAAAAGAGGTTATAGCCGTCCGGCTACACTATATATAGGACCCACCCAGTGGCTATGCGCCAAGTGTCAAAACAGTAAAGCCAGGCGGCTATACTATTTTTATAAAAAACTTGGGAAAAACCGAGAATAGCATAACGGCTATATTATTATTTTTTAAAAAAAAATTTTAATCCGAGTATATCCAAGCGGTTGTAAGATTTTTTGAATTTTTTTTTATTAAAACGGAGTATAGCCTTGCAGCTATCCTATTTATAGATATTAATTTGCTATTTTCAAAATCACCATCTTGCATTTTTGTTACAACAAGTAAGAAATAATCTTAGCCTCTCACATTCGTTCATAGTTAGTAAAATACGAAATGGAAAAAAATAAGAATAAAATACGTACGTGTTTTATTTGGCAAAATTTTGGCACATTACAATTTAAAAGTTCTGCCACTAGATTATATTTTAATATATATTATTTACATTTTTAAATATATATTATTTTTATTCAATAATATGTGAAAATTATGAGTATAATACATGAATTTTGTGTGTCTTAATGAAATTTTGTAAAAAAAATGTGTATTAAACATGAAAAATACATACGTACCTATATAATACAAGTATTGTATGTTTATGTTGTTTTAAGCATGAACTTTAACAAGTCTTTAAGATGTTTGCAGAACACGGATGTATTATTGAAAAATACGTACGAACATGTATAATGCATGATTAAACGTGAAAGTGCTAAATCTTTATACGGATAATAACTTTGGAAAAGTAAAAAAAATCAAAATGGGATAATAGAGACTCGAGTAATGGCATAATAATAATGAATAATGCTTTAAACAACTCTTATTGATAAACGAAAATCGGGGAAAAATAGGATCTCACTATATATATATATATATATATATAAATAGATTGGGCTTTAGAGAAATTTAATTGTCTTTAACATATTAAATAATAATTAAAACATAATTACTAATTAATGTAATTCAAAAAGGCTAAGATATTACTTAATTACATATCTTAAATTAAAGAAGTTGGCAAAAAAAAAAGTATATTTTCAATTTTTTTTTAAGAAAAAAGAAAAATTGCCCCTTTTAAAATTTTTTTTTATAATAAAAATAGTATTGCTGTCCGACTATACTATTTATATAAAAAAGATCCGCTAGTGCCTGGGTGCCATGCGTCAAAACAGTAAAGCCGCCCAGCTAAACTATTTAAAAAAAACAAATTAGGAAAAACGAGTGTAGCCGCACGGCTATACTATATATTAAAAAATAAATTTAAAATCCGAGTATAGCCGGGCGGCTATACGTGATATAGAAGACCCCCCAGCGGCTTGGTGCCACGTGTACAAAATGTAAAGACAATCGGCTGTACCATTTTTTAAAAAATTAGGGAAAAAACCTGGTATAGCCGAACGGCTAAATTATTTTTGAAAACAATTTAAAATCTGGGTATAGGCGCACGGCTGTACGATTTTTTGAAAATAATAATAATTAAAAGGGAGTTTCACTAAAACACCCAAAATGGAGGTGAAATTATAAAAAAACCCAACACCCAAAACACTTTATAAACACACCCAAAAACCCATCATTACACACACTCAAAACCCATTTATAAACACACCCAAAAAGTTGACTTTGGGGTTGATTTTGGGTGTGTTTCTATGTTTAAATAGTGCTTGGGGTTTTTTATAAATACATGTCTAGGATTGGGTTTATTTATAAATTTGTATAATTAAAACCGAGTATAGCAGTGCTGCTAGACTATTTATAGATATTAATTTTCTAGTTTCAAAATCACCATCTTGCATTTTTGTTATAACAAGTAAGAAATAATCTTAGCCTCTCACATTCATTCATAGTTAATAAAATACAGAATAGGAAAAAATACAAATAAAATACGTACATGTTTTATTCAACAAAATTTTGGCACAGTACAACTTAAAAGTTCTGCCATTATTATATTTTAATATAAATTATTTACATTTTTTTAATATATATTATTTTTATTCAATAATATGTGAGAATTATGTATATAATACGTAAATTTTCATGAGAAATTGAAGTGCTTCCTAAAGAAGCACATGGCAAGTGTTTCTCTAGAAAACGGTTCTATGACCCAGAAGCCCTTCTAAATTTTTCTGCCAAACGCTGTTAAAAGCACTTTTAGTTGTCAAAAAGTGTTTTTAGCCTTTCCATAAGCACTTTTAGTTGTCCAAAAGCGCTTTCAATATTTTTGGAAAGTTATTAAGTTCTTATTAGTAATTGATTACATTAGTTCTTTCTTTTTTTTAGGGTAAATTTCAATTAGCACCCTGAATTTTTACTTTTAAAGCATGTTTGCTCCTGCACTCCTAGTACTTTATTCTTAAAATTTGTAAAATTTTTAACAATAAAGTTCCCAATATTTGTAAAATTTTTGCAATATGCCTCCACCGTTAGCTATACCATTAAATTTTCATTAGTTGCTAATGTGGCGCCAATTTTTTTTGGCTTAGGTGGATTAGAATATCAATTAAAAATTAAGAAAATATTTAAATATTTTAAAAGTAATAAAATATTAAAAGACCTAAAACATAATTTGATAAGCAACAAAAAAGAAAAGAAAAGGAAACATCTCTCCTCCCATTACCCACCCACGCCATTGCCCAGGCCCCCTCCCACATCCGCACCCTACCTAACTACTCACCACCGCACACAGCCCCTTCCCCCAGGCCAGCTCCAAAGGACAACCACCACCTAGCCACCACCCACGCCAGCAAAAGTGTTCAAATTTCAAGTTTTGGTTTTTGAATTCAGTTGATTCTCTCTGTCTGTCTGTCTCTCTCTCTCTCTCTCTCCAAACGCCACTTGGTTCACGCGATCGTACCCAAAAGCCACCTTCTTCGTTAATTTTTCGGCCCCCTTCTTTGTTGTTTTTTTCGCCTTGTAATTTTTTCAAAGGCAAATCCCAACTTCCATCCTCACCCACAACACTCTCGACCCAAAATCACAACATTGGTATTGCCATCAAACAGATGTTTGGGTTAGCCTCTCCATTTCCTTGAGCCTAGATGTTTTTTTTGTGTGGAGAAATTAAAGCGTAGATGTTGAACATATTGGAAGAGTTAAATTTCAGGCATACTTGCTCTGTTATTACGCATTGCATTGTACAGCGCTGTAGGAGCAGTTGGTGTCATCCTCATTTATCATTCTTACACACGTTGTCAAATTTCGCAAGATACAGAGTGAGGCAACCATCGCTTGAAATTAAAGGCACGAAAGAAACAAAGAACGATGACTTTGTATTATATGCCACACATGGAACAGCCAACAATCCTCTCAGTACAAAACTAATGTTTCTGGCATTTGAATCAAGAAATACACTGTCAGATCAAGACTTGCATTATTAGTATATATTTAAAAAATGTCAAATTCATCATTTGGTTGTCTCCCTAGCTCTGCTTCAACTATCACGTGAGAATACAAGAGAAGTTGCAATGAACAAGCAAAGAGATACCTCCAATGTAGCACCATGCTCGTACAATCTGAAATACAATACATGACAGACTATGAATTTTGGTGCTCATATTCACTTCAACTGCTCTCATCAGCCAGCCAGCAAAGATGAAAATCAACTCATGCACACACATTCAAGAAGAAGATACTTCAAAACTTTGAAAACTAAACCAGAGAAAATAAACCCTTTTAACAAGCTGCCAATCAAACACAATCACATATACTACATGGCAACTTGAGCAATCAGAGAACTTTGAAGACCAGTTTGGTATGGGATTCCACATCAAATTCAGTAATACAAATCTCATCATCTTGCACACAGAGACATACAAACTATTAATTTTAGATATAGCAAAGCAATCAGAGAACTTTGAAGGCATGATATGAGGTTCTACATCAAATTCAGATATAAAAAATATATAGTTTTCATCATTTTGCTTTGCCATTCTTCAATTTTGAATTTTCCTGCTTTGGGCAAAACTTAGGTGTGCAAGAGAAAGCACTCTAATTCACTGCACAACTGATGCCAAAGTTTCAATTTTGCACCGACCCTTTGCTCGAAATTTCCCTGCGACTATATTTCCAAGAAGCAGGGGGCTAACTGGTGCATTACAATGAAATAATTCCAAGATAAACTTGATAATGAAAATCCCAGTACATTCCATACAATAATTACAGAAAAAGATCAAGGAAGTAAAGGATACACATCCGTAACGAGAAGCTTGGTATCCATCAGTTTATAGTTCGCTTTTTTTCCAGATTTGTACTCGTGAGTGAAAGCAGGTGAAGGCCAAAGAGAGAATTTTATAGGGGGCTTGGGATTAGGGTTTCTACGCGACGGGTTTGGAACGATTTGGATTTTTGTTAACACGTGTCGAACGATGAGACGTAAATGGAATGGGCACTGACTGACTGGGTCAATGGTCATCATCAATTTCCGCCTGAAAAGCGACATGTCGTTTATGGAGGTCACGAAACAAGCAAATGCTATAAAAAGAGGGGTATTTTAAATTATTCTAAGGTATGAAGAGGAGTTCGAGTTCGGGTGCAAGGTGCCTTGGTCAACTGGTTTACACACATCTACAATTTCCTTGTTTCATGTTATTAATCTTGTTTCCTTTTTAGTATTATTATTGTTATCTTTCATTTTTGGTGATTCATTAATATATTTGTTATCGGATAAAGTTTTTGTATTTTTAGGGATTTTTATCAGTTAAAGTTAAAAGAGGAATAATTGAAGAAAATGGCAGCGTGAAAATGATGGGTTGGATTGGAGTGCCATCAATACACACTAATATCTTGCCGTAATATTAGAGAGAGAAGAAATGATTCTTCCTCGTGATGTAATTAATATGGAAGGAGTATCTTCCCTTTTAGTTTTCTTTTCTCTAAATATTATATCCTCTCCTATAAAATGGAGTGGGAGATGAGCCTACTTTTGCATACTGGAAACCAAACATATCACAACAACAAACAAGAGTGTCAACAACAACATGGAGAAGAAACCATCCTTCAAGTTTGCTTCATTGGCCCTCCTCCTTCTATTGGCTGCAGTGGCAGTGGGGAAGGTGCCAGGAGCTGAAGCAAGGGGGAAAGCTTCGTTGTCCTCGTATGATAGACTGCAGTAAGGTATGCCAAGGATTTCCCTCGCGCTGCATCAACGGTGACTGCATATGCGATGGGGGAAACCCTCCTCCCAAGCTCCAAGTTGAAGCCAATTGTGAACCAATCAATTGCCTGAATAAGGTGTAGATATGTTATATACTATGTCCATATCTGGGTTTCTGTTTTACCGGAGCCTATGCCTGACTTGAATTATAATAAAAGTAAACACCTTTTGTTTCAATGGCATTATTCTTATTGCATTTTGCTTTGCTTCTAGACTTAGTCTAAACAAGATTAAAGGTTACTACTTTCTTAATCCTGATTGCCAACCTATGCATACACTAAACGAATGATTTGTCGAACAATATGATGTGATATTAACAGGAAATCTCATGTTTACTGGGGTGCTCTATACAATAATGAAAAGCATAACTGCCCTTCTTTTACTATGTGCTTCCTGCTTATACAACATTTCATTCTGCAGAACCTAAAAAAACTATTCAAGAAGACATCTAGCTCAATTTAGAGCTTCAGGAAAAAAAAAATCATGGAACAATATGTCATGTCGCCAACATGAAAGGCTCCTCCTTGTGATGTTAATGTGTGAGGAAGTTATCTATCACAATTCGTCAAAGAGGAAAGGTTCCTTCCTGGTAAGCAAATACATAGCTGACACTGAAAATACAAAGACTATTATGGAAACATACTTTAGGCTCAGGCACCTGGCCTTTACCTCTCGGGAAGTCTCAGGTTCTGAAAACATGCTGCTAGCAGAACTGGAAGCCCCTGCATCAGATCACACTCGGGTGCCTCTTCTGATGGTTCATCCACCTGACACATTGAATATAGGAGAATTTATGAGAAGAAAGATCCAGAATCAACAAACAAATCATGAAGATATACAAAGGGCAAATCTCAGCAAACACAGTCTTGGAGTACATTATGTAGTTCTATGATTTTAAAAGGAAAACAAACACCATTTCTTCACTTATCATAATAAGAAAGATCCAAGGGAATACCTGCCTGGAAACTTTTATCTAAGGACTCTGTCATAGCTTCCGTGGATGTCTTCATAGAAGTAGTATTCAAAAAATTATTCTTGGAAAATGGAAGCTCTTTGTTTTCACTGTCTTCATTGTTGCACTCAGTTGCATCCTTTTTGGTGTTCCATAGCTTCTCCACCAGCAGTTTTTTATCCATCATTAAGACATGCACCTGCACAGAAGAAACTATAGTGAAAGGATTCTTTTTCCATAATTGGCTACATATCAGTTTACTCATCCTTTTTCCTTTTAAAGTAGGGAAAGAAAGTTATAAAGCCACAAAGAACTCAGACACCTTGAGTGTTTGTTCCATGGAAATTCAGTGACTTTTCTTCTATATATGACGCAACAGATTTTTCCATTTGAATTGTGGCCTTCAGCGAAAAAGTGGGCCATCACATGCTAAGTTTGCTTATTTATGACAAGCAACTATTTTGATTTCCACCGTCGAAATTACAGTAGCCACCACTTTCTACGGCAGCACCATCAACAAAATAACGTCCACAGGACGTGAGTGGAGAGAGAGAGAGAGAGAGAGAGAGAGAGAGAGAGAGAGAGAGAAGTTCCAAGATATACCTGATTTTGGATGCGCTCCGTCTATGGCTAGTTGCATTGCCATATCCATCATGAACTTGATTCTGTTATTGAGTTCTTCTGCACTTGCAAATTTTGCATGTTAGCCTGATCCAAAAGACGATTCCAAGTATTCCACTCTCCCTTAGAACAGTATTTCCGCATTTAGTTTCTGAGTTAGTTTCAGATAACACAACACAATGCTCCTCTGTACTTTCTGTCTTATTTCAGCTTTTGAAACCTTTGATTTTAGATCTTCAATTAAGTTTCCATATCCCAAATGCAGCATATAGCATATTCTGCTGCTCTTGACTTGCTTCAGAGGATGCTTTTGCATGCTGTAATTGGATCTCTACTTCCCTCAACTGTTTTTCTAGACTGCCAACCTTTTTTCTGTGTTACTAGCACTTCTTTTAGAAAACTCATCTCTTCAGTGAGTTCCACATTCGTTCCTGTTAATTCCGCAACCTTAAGTTCTGCGCTCTCAGCCTTAACTTCTGTTGAAAGATGTTTTCTTTCAAAGACTCAACTAACCTTTCCATTCCCCAAGTTTCTCTTGACTTGATTCATTGGTGGAATTTGCACTCTTCAGCTGGAGCTCTGATTCTTTCAGCTGTTTCTCAAGGAACACACCTTTCTCTCAAAGCAGACAGTCAACATCTTTCTTAATGTTCTCTTCATGAACATTCTTGAGCTTCTGCAAAGCAGTATCTTTGCTTTCAGCTCTTCTAAACTAGCTTGAAGTTGAATTTTAGCTCGCTTTCTCGTGAATTGAACCATTTAGATTAAAATGAATAAGCTGCAGTCGACCTAATAATTCCTTTGAAATCCCCTGGAGCACCTCAGCAGCATTCTCTGCCTCTAAAAAATTCCCCAAACACTTCTGCTGCTTCTTCCATGTGAAATGTACCTGTTCTGTATGATGTAGCTTAATTTAAGTTTCTTCATTTTGTCTTGATTCAGTTAATTTCTTCTCAAGATAGCTCTCTTGAAAGTGAATTCTCCAGCATCCAACAATGTCTTTGTTTAGCATCTTTAAATTTGACTTTGCATTTTAGTCGCCTGTTGAGCATTTTTGATAAATCCATGGCAAGGTCAGTTTCTCTGTTGACATGTATGCTCAATAAAACCAAGTAAAAAAGGCATCATCGTTATGTGAATAAAAAATCTCCTAACTAGAAAGAAAAAACTTGAAATTACAATTATGGAAAAGTAGAACGGTCTCTGAAACCTTTCCGAAGAATTCTTAAGCTCTGAAATCTGATCTTGAGATGCTTTAGGGATTCTTCAGAATCACTTTAACTTTCTTCCATAGAGAATACAGTTTCCCAAGTGTCTGCACGAAGATATTTTTTTAGGGGCATCAAAAAGTCACTGCTTGGAGAGCATCCAGGAAATGTCAGCTATCTTACCTCAGAATATCGAAGCTAGAAAGGAAATGAATACCAAATACGTTCAATAAAGTCCGCGGCATTAGAGTTATGGACGGTGTGCCATGCCTCGAATCATTCAGCTGCGGCCAACAGGTAGATAAAGAGGGTACATGTAGGATTTGCCAACTTCTCAGAAGACTATGCCACCGTCAAGTCCAGCTTTGTTAAAACTTGCAAGTTAAATCTCTAACGCTTGGAAATGCCAGATTCATTCGATTGCAACTACTGTTGGATGTAGGAGTTTATCTAAACCTCAGGACTGCCAACAGATTATCACAAAACAGCATGGTATCCATACATGGGGAAGGAAAAAAACGGCTTTGCCTGATCTCTCATATTGAGTCTGACAAAGTTCCAAACGAGAGGAGGAGGACTGAGAAAGGAAAAATACTTAAGTCAGAACAAGAAAATTCTAAAAAACGGCCCCCACAACAGACAGTGAGTGCTCATATAAAAAATCATAGATTGCACCAGAGTCGACTATTGAGGAGAAGTAAACAACTAACAAGCAAACATTTGAATTCAGTGGTAAACGAAAAATGAAAATACGGGCACCCACATGGAGTCCGTCCCTACGGTAGGTGGGGAGGGGAAAGACAAAAAACAAGACATGTCAGCATTAAATGACCTACACATAGCAGCCAAACCCTTTACCAACCAAGTCAGACGACCGATAAGAGAGTAACCCTTCCCTGGCAACCCAACCCCTCCTAACTTGGTAAGCACAATTGTCAAGAACAAAAGACTGAACTTCCTGATGTCAGAGGTAGATAACACCACACGAAATACTTCCCATCGTCTACTCTATGACTTGCAAACAAGGCATAGCCGAGAAGGAATCTAATCAGTCTCAAAAGCATACATATGGAATGAATATAACCATTGAATTTGAAAAGGAAACTAAAATTATTGGTTAAGGATATTCTTCCAGAACCTATCCATTTAGCCATTAGAGAGTTGAAGTTTGAGACTTACACTAACTATAAGATCAGTAAACTTCAATGAATCGAGCAAATTAAAACACAAGTTACAGGAATGGCAATCCAAAAGGCAAAAGAGTTCAAAAATATGAAAGAAAACCAACACAAGTATGCCCAAATGTGGGAACAGAAATTCGGGTGACGAACAAGAAACAAAAAAAATCAGGGAATTCAGCTCTTTTTTCTGGGTTCTTGTGAATACCTGGGCGGCTGGGAGAAGGCTATCTGGGTCTTCTTGGCAGCTAGAGGGAAATTGGAGGAACAATGAAAAGCCGAAACAGAAGAATGGACAAAGATATGATAAAACACTAAACAGTTGGGTTAAACTACTTGTTGTCAATTCGTTTACCGTTAACCAAGGTAGGACTTGGAATTTGGACTGCTGTGGTCTTTGAGTTTGAGGCCTGGGATCTCGTGAAAGCTGAGAAAGGGCTACAGCCAAGAGCGAAGTGGGCACCAATAGTCAAAACTGTATGGTGGTGTGCTACAGCTTCCAACGGCTGCTGCCGTACTCAGAATGTTGTGTTGTGCGGTGCACCGTGGGAAAGGGTTTCCACGTAGGCGCTCCCTCAATAATTGAGTAAACTACAATATAACAAAACGTTCCATCTAAATAAAATAGACTATGATTCTTCTCATACACGACCAACGTTGTCAGTACAGTAAACGTGGATTAAGCAGTGGTATGATTAGTGTGTTTGACTTTTTTACATTGAAGTTCAAATCATTTTTTCCCACACTAAATTATGTTAATTTAGATATTGTTATATTAGTAGTAACCAAAAAAGACATTGGGGGGTAGTGTTGTTTTCTTAGTCTATCTAAAAAAATTATTTGAGGGGAGAGAATACGATCCGTTAACGGGTCATCATAAGGCAGGCAAGCCACTAATTTTTGCTTTTAATAATTCAAGCAATATTGCACCATGGATTGGAATGTCTATGTGCATGTGATATGAATGGATTGCCGGCGATTAATTGTTTGCATCATTTAAGTACTTTTAATAATGGAATCAATTATGTCTTTCAATTCATGGTTATTCAATCATGATCATGGAGCCTGGACCTACCTCATTCCTATACAAAAAATGCATGTATTCGCTTCTCCAAAAACACTTTTTTGAACAATACGGGTAAATACTAGGAAAAAAAAACCCAATGCTTCCGAATTTAAGGTATTGCCTGGGGTGGGCTATGGTTTCTTGAATGGGTTCTGCGACTTGATTGGGCTGAAAAAAGTTGTAAGTCATTTCCTAAGCCATTTTCTAGAACAAGTTGGAAGAGTCGAATCAAAAGGCATCTTGAAATCTCAGTTGCCCTGCCCAGAAAGAAAAAACAAAAATATATTCTATATATATATCTATATATTGAAATTAACTTGAATGTTTTCTTCATATGTCCGTCTGAGCAAAAGAGTTTGATGCAGAGTTGGGTTTGCTGCCGCCAAACAGCTCAAAGTTTGTAAAGCAAAAGCAAAGAGTAGCAAAGCACGTTTGTGTTGTCTGTCAATTATCACAATCATCATTAGTAATTGTTCGTATGTCCTCCATTGACATGTTCGGTTCCGTTGAGTTTGGACCACACAACCCACTTTTTGTTTTCAAAATATCTACCTTCTTCAATAGCAGCTAGGAACTTGCTATTTTATTGAATTTCCATCAAAAATTTCAAGCAAAATGATGTTTGGTCATGGCTACGGCTTTGTGATATAAGACCACAGATTGTGTCCACTTTGATTTTAAATGCTGGGCCCTCGGTGGATAGCATGGGATTGTTCCCAAAAAATAAAAAAACAAAAACTTTACGAAATAAGAAACCTAAAAACATGCAGATGCGAATATAAAGGACCAATAGTGTACAGTTAGATGCAATGTTTCTTTAGCAAAAAGTATTACATTCAAGTGTCCTTAGACTATGTGTTGTAGTAGATATGTGACTTTGACTAAGTGGATATGTGGATTTGAACATTAATAGAAGATATTGATGTCTAAAAAAAACACTCACTCTCCAAGCAGACAAGCCAAAACATGTTCAAAGCAGCAACCTCTGATCCTATAACTCGTAAGGAGAGAGAGACGCTCTTTTAAGTGCAAAAGATCCAAATTACTTGTCTAACGAGAGCGCTACACAAATCCATCCAAGCAAAAAATGTTTTATTTTTTTTGGACCCAATCCCAATAGAATCTTAGACTTTCGTTTTCATATTCACTGGGCTCATATGTTAACTACTAGCTAGTTTCCCATGAATTCGCATCTCTACTACACTTTTGAATGTTAGGCTCAATTGGGGATTTTGGGATTGGATTTAGATCAAGACATACAGTACCAAACAACAATTATTAATGTCTTTATTTCACAAAAGCTATAGTTGATATGTGGCCTGAGAGCGTCAAGTACAAGTTTCCAATGATAGAGTTTATTTGGATAAGATAGGACCAGTAGCTGTTATTGGGGTGAAAAAAAAATAAACCGTATCCAAAATACGTCACTTGATGTTGAGGGGGTTGAGCACCGCTGATGAGTTTGCACTTTAAACTTATAAATCACTTATTCACTTTTTTCGTTTCTTTCGTACATGAATTGTAGAGGAGGTGTGTGGATGAGTGCCAAATTATCATCTTTTGAATGATACAAATCCTAACGGACGTAAAACTATTGGGGACCAAATCTGAAGGGTCCAGAGTGCAATGTGAGACAATTTCGAGATTGTATATTGGGAAGAAAAGGGCACACCGATGATGGAATTTTCCAATAGATGATGAGCTACTAGGCTTTCATCAAATCATAAAATATTTTGAACATTTTTCCCCTGCAAAGGTCGGAGTTTACCGGGTATGGATCTTGTAGACTGTACCCTACTACAGTAGTGCCATACTAGATGGTAGTGTACCCATTAAGATCTCTAGAGACAGTATACTATATGCATGGCGAGACAAATAGCTGGAATTAGCAGGCCACTCTTTTATAAAAATGCCCCCTCCTCCTCATCCTTACCCTAAGGGGTCCCATGCCAGAGATTTTGTAATCTCTTGCACCAACGTTTACTTTGGCAGCAGATGTGAAAACTTTTAAAAGGTTTACTGGGGAAAAGGACCAGAAAAGCCTCACCTTTTTCAAAGAGGCATCTTCTGTTCTACTGAGAAATAAAAAAGAAAGAAGAGGTGGTGGATTTTCTGCGAATTGGTTTTCAGAAAAAAAGTGAGCCAAAAGTTGGCCCCACATAAAGTTTGGAAAACAATCATGCAAACAAAACATTCGTCATGATATGCTATGTAATGAGTTGCATGAAATTCATAATTTTTCAAAAGGAGATTCCTATGTTTATTTGGTGTCACATTCAACACCAGTGCATTTTCTCCTTACTCGTCACATCTTAATAGTTTTCATCTATAATGGTGTCTAGGAATGTGGACCAATTTTTTTTTTCAAGTTACGGAAACATTTATATAAAACGAGAAACATTATTTTGCGATTGTGACCAATCAGAGGATGCATGCAGGAAACCTTTCCACATGGCCGTTTGTGATTGGACGGAGATAGTTAAAACAGGCTATCTTGTGTTATACAAGTTTGTTCCCACAAAGCTGCAAACTAGCTTTTTAATACCTAGTACCTTGAAATAACAAGCATCTAGAAGCATACACCATTACAATTTAGTGAGGAAAACAAAAAAGATTGCAATCAGGAGAACATAGTGAAGGCCGACTCATGGGTTCACTTCTAAGTATTTGGAAATAAAAGCTAGGGTTGTTCTAGTTCCAATTTACTTACGCCATACGTGAAAGTAGAAGAGTTGAGCTTATCATGTCATAAGCGCATGCCCACACCAAAAGGATAAGGCTAAGGCAAAGCCAAAACAAGGGTGTGCAATATTCACGTTAATAGGGAAGCTTTCCTTTTTTGGTCCACCCCAAACAGGTAGGGATAAGGCAAAAAAAAAAAAAATAAAAAATATGCAACAAAATATTAGGAAAATGCAAGAAATAAAATGATTATGCAGGAAAAAATTAATATGGAGGGAAAAAGGAAAATATAAACAAATTTACAAATGGCAAAGGAAAAAAAAAAATGATACAAATTTATTAAATATTGGAAGGAAGAAATAGTTTGTATGAGGATTAGTGGGAAAAGTGAATAAAAATGTTGTGTAATTTATAGGGGAAAACAATCCCATAATTTTTGAGTTTTTTTTTTCGATATTTTTTTCGATCCTTCGAGCTGAAGAACCAGGCCAAGATCTGCCTGGACTGGCAAGGGCTGAGGGACCAGGGCTTGCCCGGCTCTCTTTCCTGTGTGGAGGTCCAACCCGCGGAGGGCCTATCGGCATGGCAATGGGGCTGGACTAAGTACTGAAACATGCCATGCGTACTTGTAAACTTGTATTTGTGACGGTTAGTAAGTACAACTAATAGAAAGCACTAATGTAAAGTCGGAAACGTGGCTTCTCCAATTGGATTACAGGTCAGGGCCCAAGTACTAAGCTACTTTATTTTCGAGAGAGGAGAGAGAGAGAGAGAGTAATGATCAACCAATGCAGCTTTGATTGAGGTTAAAGAATTCTTAAAGCTCTGGTTAAGAAGATATCGAAATCTACACTCTAATACCATGTTGCCATGGCTGGGATTGGTTGCTGGGTTTATCTTTCCAAAAGGAGAGCCGCCATGCCATGCCACCCATGACCCAACTTCATCATAATAATGTATGTTATTCTAAACTTTTACATACATGCAGGACACCAAATCAGTGGACTCCTGTATAAGAGCCAACCATTACAGGCAATGCCCCATTGTCCACTTCTTGGCTCCTTCAAATCTCTTTGGAGAAATTGGTATGAAGGGAATCTAATCCTGTTTCCTTAATAGGGCGGTACCCTGTGGGTTTGTTGTTCATTGTCTCCTTCTTATTCATCTTTCCTTATACACATGCACATCAAAATCATAAATGATTTTCTTTTTTATGTAGTATTTAATTAAAAGAAAATACTAGCATTAAATTTGGTGTGTTACTGTATGGCGGGCTTTATCATTTTCTTGTCGCACCGGGGGTGTCTAGGTCCAGTAAAACACATTACTTAACATAATTGGTTTAGTTTAAAGAGCCAATTGCAATAAAATCACACAAATTAACACCTCCACCTCTAAAAGTTAGGTTTTCTAAAGCAAAGTGGGGAGGAGATTACATATTCTAAGGCTAGGTCACTGTGATTGCAAGTCCCAATGACAAATACTAAGGCATGAGAGGAAAAGAACGAAAGAAAGAAAGGGACAGTCTAGAAGGTAACGCCATAGGTAGTAGAAATTGCACCCAGTTTCACTGTGTGGACTATTACTTTTAGTTTTTTTCTTTTATTTGATTTTAATATTCAATATCATGTCGGACACCATAGGTGCAACTTGCTATAAATGACTAATTCAAAAGGATGGGTCAACCCAGAGAGACTGTGATTAGGCATGATCATAGCCATTCAATTTCATTACTTTTGGAGGATTAGTCAGGGCTAGTTTTAGATTCACCGGAAACAAAAAAACAGCACAATGTGCTGGCAGGTGTAAGATAAGACGGTCAAGTAAATATCACGAATGAGCATTGGAATAAGAGTAGATCGTCCCATACAATAATGCAGATGCAGGGACCGCATAAATTTTTTTTTTTTTTTTTTTTTTTTTTTTTTTTTTTTTTTTTTTTTTTTTTTTTTTTTTTTTTTTTTTTTTTTTTTTTTTTTTTTTTTTTTTTTTTTTTTTTTTTTTTTTTTTTTTTTTTTTTTTTTTTTTTTTTTTTTTTTTTTTTTTTTTTTTTTTTTTTTTTTTTTTTTTTTTTTTTTTTTTTTTTTTTTTTTTTTTTTTTTTTTTTTTTTTTTTTTTTTTTTTTTTTTTTTTTTTTTTTTTTTTTTTTTTTTTTTTTTTTTTTTTTTTTTTTTTTTTTTTTTTTTTTTTTTTTTTTTTTTTTTTTTTTTTTTTTTTTTTTTTTTTTTTTTTTTTTTTTTTTTTTTTTTTTTTTTTTTTTTTTTTTTTTTTTTTTTTTTTTTTTTTTTTATTTATGTAACCTGTGTTTTTTTTCCCTTTCTAAGGGGGGTGTATTCAATTCTAACTTTTAAATACTTTTTTTAAGTGAATGACTTTTCTAGAGTAGACAAATTCTTAATGACTTTTACATACTTTATAAAGTTAAGTGACAAACTTTCATATACTTTTTGTCATAGAGTTTTATAGACTTTTAAATACTTATTTTATATTTATTTTACAAATAGCATTTATCTTTTATGTTGAATGAACTAGTCGGCATATATTGAACAAAAAATTAGGGAAAAAAACAATTGGATACAATTACATAAAAGCAAAGAATAGTTCTCCTTAACATTAGAAAATGATAAAAATGACAAAGTACATTTGAAAATGTACCATAAGGAAATAATTGGCATTCAACTAGCCATGATTCAGTTTTAAAAAAGCTTAGCCATGATTCATTTAATGACGGTGAATGAACCATAATACAAATTCCTTTTGAAAATTCCAATGCTCATTACCGTTGAGTTCCGTTATTATCTTGCATGACATTTCTCCACATGTCAGAAGCTATACCAACTCTCCATTCATTAGCATTCTCTCGTTGTTATTCTTGAGTTTCAAAAACTTGTTCCACATTATCTCCTTCATTCCCTAGTAATGGTGAAGATGATGAAGACTCGTTCTCTGGTTCAATAGGAAATTCATCAAAACGACATTCCCTACGAAGAAAATTATGTAGTCCTGCACAAGCTAACACAAGCTCTGCTTGAGTCCTATATGGGAATGGAGGTGCTGACTTGAAAATTGTGAATCTTGATTTAAATATCCCAAATATCCTCTCAATTACATTCCTCAAAGAAGCATGGCGAAGATTGAACAACTCAGTTGCGGTTTCAGGGTCACTTCCTCGCTTCCTCGTTGTGATTCTTCCATTGATAATTACTATATCACACGTACAAATCCTTATTAATTGTGTATATTTTCATAATAGCTTATTGGTAAACTGCATCCAATGCACCTTTTAAATTTTATTTATCAAATCTAATCACATAGACAAGTAACATATTCTTATCAAAAGAAATAAATATTACTCAGTCATCAATAATATTTCATAAACACTCACAAATCAACATAAATGGTCAGATTACAAGAGTCTATATTCCAGCAATTCTCCTAACCTAATATGTGGGATGTAATCAAATTGAGAATATTATATGAAAAAATTATCCACCTAACGAATTATGGGTAAAGAAACAGTACCTAAAGAATAAATTAATGGGTTTAGGGGCAAAAAATTATATAATAAAATATTGTATGCAAACATAGCATATGAGACAATCAATATAATAAAATATTTATATGCAAACATAGCTGAAGGAAGTGGATGAGAAGAGATATTCATCAACAGAAACGTGTGGATGAGAAGAGAAGAAAAACATTCAATATTTTTTACTAACCTAAAGGAAGTGGATGACAATGGGATACCAAAGTGGAGCCCTAACCATGAAGAAAAAAGATCCATCTGCTTGATGCTTGATATAACAAGGAAGAAAGAATTGGAGACATTTGGAGACGTTTTGTTTCTATCTTCTCAGCTTCCCAATATTTTCATAAAGTCTGGTGTAAATTAGCAAGACTTTTGGTAGTAAGAATTACCTTTAAAAGTATTGAAAAGTCATTTATTTAACAAAGTTTTTAAAAGTCATTAACATTTTGGATACCTCAAAACTTTTAATACTCTTTAAAACTCACAATTGAATACAACTAAACTTTTAAAGACTATTTAAAAGTCACAATTGAATACCTTCAGACTTTTAAATTTTTTTTTTTTTTTTTTTTTTTTTTTTTTTTTTTTTTTTTTTTTTTTTTTTTTTTTTTTTTTTTTTTTTTTTTTTTTTTTTTTTTTTTTTTTTTTTTTTTTTTTTTTTTTTTTTTTTTTTTTTTTTTTTTTTTTTTTTTTTTTTTTTTTTTTTTTTTTTTTTTTTTTTTTTTTTTTTTTTTTTTTTTTTTTTTTTTTTTTTTTTTTTTTTTTTTTTTTTTTTTTTTTTTTTTTTTTTTTTTTTTTTTTTTTTTTTTTTTTTTTTTTTTTTTTTTTTTTTTTTTTTTTTTTTTTTTTTTTTTTTTTTTTTTTTTTTTTTTTTTTTTTTTTTTTTTTTTTTTTTTTTTTTTTTTTTTTTTTTTTTTTTTTTTTTTTTTTTTTTTTTTTTTTAAAAAAATTGACGTCGTCTAATGCATATATCTTAACGTCGACAAGTTTAATGGACTTCAAATACCGTCGTAAAATAAATTTTCCACTTCGATTTTTCTACGAATTATGACGTGGAAATAGATGTCAGGTTCATTAATTACGACGTATGTATTTACTGAGACGACGTTGAAATGAATAAACAACGTCGGTTCCAAATAAATGAGAGCCGTATTACAGAATTTATACGTCATATTTTGAAAATAAACGACGTGGAAAAAATGATGGGGTCATTAATTACGACACAGTAATTTATGAGGACGACGTTGTCGTTTATATACAACGTCGGTACCATGAAAAAGACCGTCGTGTTTAATAATTTATACGTCTTCATTAAAAAAATTAACGTCGTCTAATTCATAAATCTTAACGTCGACAAATTTAATGGATTTCAAATACCGTCGTGAATTCATCCTTTTCCACTTCGTTTATGAAAGAACATGCGACGTGGTAAATTCATGACGACGTCGTCTTTTGTAACGTTCAGGTTAAAGTTCTCGTCTTTTAGACGTCGGTGTTATGGGATTGGAGACGTGTTATGTTGAATTACATGGCGGTTCTTTATCAAAACCGTCGTGTTTGTAATCTGGAACCAGTAATTTTTGTACTGATTGTTTTGTGGCCAAAACCTGTATAATAATGAAAGTGAAGAAATCACATTACAATATATTACAAAATTAATGTCATACACTGCCAATTACATAAAGCATCATTCAACCCATATATCTTCACACCCATCTCGAATATTTTGACTCCCTAACTCAACCACCACTTCATCAAATGTGTCAACATTTGGCATCCCCCTAGTAAATGGCTCACACTCAATTCTCACATCACCTAAGACATCATCACCAATAACATCATTATATTCTCTATTAGGCATTGATAACACTACCGACCAACCACGATGCATCGGGTCGTCAACAAAAAATACTTGTTTGACTTGAGAAGCCAAAACAAATTGGTCATTCCTATGTCCAATTTTACTCAAATCTACAAGGGTAAATCCAAGTTCGTCCACTACAAGACCAGAAGTATTATCAATCCAATCACACCTAAAGACTGGGATTGTAAACTTTTGGTAGTCAAGGTCCCAAATTTCTTGAATGACACCATAGAAACCCATATTTGAGAGAATTGGGTTTTTATCCTTGGCACTAGCAACTTGCATAGTATGTGCAAGTAAATAAACTCCACTATTTTGAGTTGTCCGCACATCATCTTGTGCCTTGATGTTGAATTTAATACCTTTAATGAGATAGCTCCTATATAATGGCACTGCCTGTTTGGACCAGCTGCTAGCCACCTTAAATTTTCTGATACGCCATGATTGTCTTCCTCATTAAGTTCACTTTGAACTGCAAATTAATCATAACTTAATTCAATCTAACATAGAAAGAAGAAAATTAAAAGTCCAATATGTTATTCAATAACATATACCTTGAAGCGTAGCCATTGAATGAAAGTGCTATTGTGCTTATCCTGCAGCCACTTTGTTCTCTTTCTAAATTTTGGATAAGCGGTCTGGATGTGGATCATATGTTGCCTACATGACACACAAAATTCAAGTATTACGGTCCCAAACATATAAGATAAACATAAGAAATAATTTAAAATGGAAACTTAAAGAATAAAACTCATACGTACTCGATATAAGGTAGGACTTCCTCCGTATTCTCCAAGACATATAGATGTGCTTGGTTCAACAGGTCCCGATCAACTACGCTCACTGTGCAACCTGATAATGGCTTTGAAACTCCCATCTTTTGGCTTGAAGGCACTCCAACTGTACTAACATCAGATAAATGCTCGGTACAAAACTCTACAGCTTCTTCAGCTATATACCGCTCAGCAATGCAACCTTCGGGACGAGTACGATTCTGAACATACCCCTTTAGCACTTTCATATATCTTTCAAACGGATACATCCATCTAAAATATACTGGCCCACACAGACGAACTTCTCTGACAAGATGTACTACTAGATGAACCATGATATCAAAGAATGAAGGGGGAAAGTACTTTCTCAAGCAAACACAAAGTAACTACTACATCTTCTTCCAACTTATCTAGCTTGGAAACATCAACAGTCTTTGCACATATAGCATTGAAGAAGAAGCACAAACGAGTTATTGCATACCTTGCAGGCTTCTCCAAAACAGAACGAATTGCCACAGGGAGCAATTGTTGCATTAAGGTATGACAATCATGTGATTTAAGGCCAAGAAGTCTTGAATCTTGTAAAGATACAAGATTTTTTATATTTGAAGAATAACCTTCAGGGACCTTCATACCATAGAAAGAATTGCAAACCTCTCTCTTCTCTGCTCTTGACAAATTCCAAGGCCCGGGAGGCAAAGAGTAGTCTTTCTCCATACTCGGGTTGCAAATCAGTTTTGACCCCCATGTTCAATAAATCTAACGAGCAGCAATCCCATCTTTATTTTTTCCAGGGATCTCCAGCAATGTACCAATGATACTATCGCAAACATTCTTCTCAATGTGCATAACATCTAGGACATGCCTCACAGGAAGGTATTTCCAATACTCGAGATCAAAGAATATTGATTTCTTCTTCCAACAAACTCTGTCACCATCTTCAACCATATGCAAGCACTTCTTCTCCGGTTAATGGCTCAGGAGGCGTGCCATATTCAGGTTTCCCATTAAAAGCTGCACGTTGCCTCCTATATGGATGATTGATCGGTAACCATTTTCTATGCCCAATGTAACAAATTTTGTGGCCATTTTTCAACCTGTGACTAGGTGTATCATCGCCGCATATTGGACAAGCTTTATATCCTTTAACAACACAACCAGATAAGTTTCCATAGGCGGGGAAATCATTAATTGTCCACATTAATGCAGCTCTGAGTGTAAAGTATTCTCCATTATGTGCATCATACACTCCTCCAATCCCATCCCACAAAGATTTTAAATCATCAATCAAAGGCTCCAAGTAGACGTCTATATCATTTCCGGGCTGTTTAGGACCGGAAATCAATAAGGTCAACATCATGAACTTTCGTTTCATGCACAGCCATGGAGGGAGATTATATGTAACTAAGATAACTGGCCAGCAACTATATCTGCTACTTAGAGAACTGTGGGGATTGAATCCATCAGATGAAAGAGCCAATCTCAAGTTTCTCGGCTCATTACCAAACTCGGGCCATTTATCATCAAGAAGTTTCCAAGACGGGGAATCCGCTGGATGAGACATATAACCGTCAATTGATTTTCTAGCAGCATGCCAAGTCAAACTCTTAGCGGTCTCATGTGATCGAAACATCCTTTTAAACCTTGGAATTGGAGGAAAATACCACACCACCTTCGCTGGCACACCCTCTTTCAAGATTGAATCTTTGCCTTCCTTCCACCTTGAGATACCACAATTAGGACAATGAGTTAAATCCTCATACTCCTTCCTATACAAGATGCAATCATTGGGGCATGCGTGCATTTTCTCATAACTCAGCCCCAATGCACACAAAGTCTTTTTTGCCTCATACATAGAGGCCGGTATTGTATTTCCTTCTGGAAGCAAATCGCCTTGAAGTATCAATAATTCTGTAAAACAGACATCACTCATCCCATATTTTGCCTTCAAATTATACAACTTCACTAATGCCGATAACTTCGTGTACTTTCTACAACCAGGGTACAATGGTTGATCTCCATCCCCAATCACATTGGCAAACTCATAAGGATCAGATCCAAAATCACCAAATCATTATCATCCATCTCTATTTCTTCAGACACAAAACTGTACCTACTATGGTCATCATCTTCTTCAACATTTCTACTAGCATTAGTAGCTGCTTCCCAAGGTTCTCCGTGAAATGTCCAATTCTTATAGCTTTGGTCAACTCCATTAAAGTATAAGTGATCCCTTATAATTCCAACCCCAAACAATTTCAAATTAACACATTTAACACATGGACAACGGATATGTGTGGTAGTTAGAAGATTTTCTACAGAAAAGTTCAAAAATGCTTCCACCCCTAACTCATATGCCTTCGATCTTCTATCCGAGTGCATCCATGACTTATCCATCTCCGACACTATACCCTATTATATATAATAAAGTGAAAAGACAAGCAATGACCATCACTATAGCAGATTATATAAAGTCTAATAGCAAGTAATATACAACAGAGACGACGGTTTTTAAACAAAAACAGACGTATTTGACATATATAGACGACGGATTTTACGTCGTCTAATTATAACCACGACGGTAGTTAAATAACACCGTCGTGTATAAGTAATAAAAACGACGGTTTAAAGTAAAAACCGTCGTCGTATGCCTGAAAACGCGTCGATATCCAGTTTATTTTCAAGATCCCAAAACCCTATTAAGAACACAACATAGACATGAAACCAAGCAAGAAACCAACATATACATGAAACCAACATATACTAAGCATGAAAACAATAAATCCATTCCCAATTCAACATAACAGAGAGTGATTAAAAGATCCGACAAAATGAAATCCATTCCATATTCAACATAACAGAGAGTGATCAAGAAAACATTAAACAGAAAATCCATGAACCCATACCTCCAACAACATTATTAACAGATCGCAAAACATATACCTAAAACCCTTTAACAAAACAACGTAATATATCATTCAATGAATTTACAAGGGGAAGAGAGGGTTTGTACTTACAGGTTGGCAGAGCTCACAGATTATGACCAAATTGGATTTGACACAGCCTGGCCCAACTTTGAATTAGAGATGAAGTGAGAGAGCGAAATGTTATGTTGCGCGAAATCAGAAAATTTTAGGGTTCAGGGTTAGAAGTATAAAAATAAGAGCCAAATCTGAAAATTTTAGGTCCCGCGAATATTTTAAGAAAGCGCGCTTTTTAAAACATCGACCGAAAAAACAAGCGTCGTTAAAATTTAACATTAAACATGACGCTTATTACATTAAGGACGTCGTGGTAAAACTATGTACCACGCAAAATCAAAAAAGGCGTTAAAACTATGAAAAACCACGGCGGGGTTAAGTAACTAACGACGTTGTAAATAATAATAAACGACTAACAGGTAAACAAAACGTCGTTTAAAAAGAAACCACGTCGGATTTTTCACCATACGACGTAAACTCAATATTCCACGACTCAATCACCGTCGTTAAAAGTAATACCCTAAACTTTAAAACCATAAATTATATATTTGTAAAATTTAATTTTATAAAATTGTTTATGGTTTTACATCCTAATAAATAACAAGCATAAACCCTAAACCCCAAAAATTATACTTTAACCATAAACCCTAATAAATAACAACCCTAAACCCCAAACCCTAAACCCTAAACCATCAAACTATATAAGTGATGCTATGACTCATAACAACAATTTTATTTTGGTTGGTCATTTTAAACTTTTATTACACAAACTGCATTTTTTTGGGGTTTAGGGGGAAGAAAATATATCAATGACTTCATAGGAGTTGAAGTTGAATTTTTTGAATTTATTTTAAATTTATTTTTAAAATTTTGAATTAAAAATAATAAAATATTCTTATATCAACAACAAACCACGGCGGGGTTAAGTAACTAACGACGTTGTAAATAATAATAAACGACTAACAGGTAAACAAAACGTCGTTTAAAAAAGAAACCACGTCGGATTTTTCACCAACGACGTAAACTCAATATTCCACGACTCAATCACCGTCGTTAAAAGTAATACCCTAAACTTTAAAACCATAAATTATATATTTGTAAAATTTAATTTTATAAAATTGTTTATGGTTTTACATCCTAATAAATAACAAGCATAAACCCTAAACCCCAAAAATTATACTTTAACCATAAACCCTAATAAATAACAACCCTAAACCCCAAACCCTAAACCCTAAACCATCAAACTATATAAGTGATGCTATGACTCATAACAACAATTTTATTTTGGTTGGTCATTTTAAACTTTCATTACACAAACTGCATTTTTTTGGGGTTTAGGGGGAAGAAAATATATCAATGACTTCATAGGAGTTGAAGTTGAATTTTTTGAATTTATTTTAAATTTATTTTTAAAATTTTGAATTAAAAATAATAAAATATTCTTATATCAACAACAAACCACGGCGGGGTTAAGTAACTAACGACGTTGTAAATAATAATAAACGACTAACAGGTAAACAAAACGTCGTTTAAAAAAGAAACCACGTCGGATTTTTCACCATACGACGTAAACTCAATATTCCACGACTCAATCACCGTCGTTAAAAGTAATACCCTAAACTTTAAAACCATAAATTATATATTTGTAAAATTTAATTTTATAAAATTGTTTATGGTTTTACATCCTAATAAATAACAAGCATAAACCCTAAACCCCAAAAATTATACTTTATCCATAAACCCTAATAAATAACAACCCTAAACCCCAAACCCTAAACCTAAACCCTAAACCATCAAACTATATAAGTGATGCTATGACTCATAAAAACAATTTTATTTTGGTTGGTCATTTTAAACTTTCATTACACAAACTGCATTTTTTTGGGGTTTAGGGGGAAGAAAATATATCAATGACTTCATAGGAGTTGAAGTTGAATTTTTTGAATTTATTTTAAATTTATTTTTAAAATTTTGAATTAAAAATAATAAAATATTCTTATATCAACAACAAACCACGGCGGGGTTAAGTAACTAACGACGTTGTAAACAATAATAAACGACTAACAGGTAAACAAAACGTCGTTTAAAAAAGAAACCACGTCGGATTTTTCACCATACGACGTAAACTCAATATTCCACGACTCAATCACCGTCGTTAAAAGTAATACCCTAAACTTTAAAACCATAAATTATATTTGTAAAATTTAATTTTATAAAATTGTTTATGGTTTTACATCCTAATAAATAACAAGCATAAACCCTAAACCCCAAAAATTATACTTTATCCATAAACCCTAATAAATAACAACCCTAAACCCCAAACCCTAAACCTAAACCCTAAACCATCAAACTATATAAGTGATGCTATGACTCATAAAAACAATTTTATTTTGGTTGGTCATTTTAAACTTTCATTACACAAACTGCATTTTTTTGGGGTTTAGGGGGAAGAAAATATATCAATGACTTCATAGGAGTTGAAGTTGAATTTTTTGAATTTATTTTAAATTTATTTTTAAAATTTTGAATTAAAAATAATAAAATATTCTTATATCAACAACAAACCACGGCGGGGTTAAGTAACTAACGACGTTGTAAACAATAATAAACGACTAACAGGTAAACAAAACGTCGTTTAAAAAAGAAACCACGTCGGATTTTTCACCATACACGTAAACTCAATATTCCACGACTCAATCACCGTCGTTAAAAGTAATACCCTAAACTTTAAAACCATAAATTATATATTTGTAAAATTTAATTTTATAAAATTGTTTATGGTTTTACATCCTAATAAATAACAACATAAACCCTAAACCCCAAAAATTATACTTTATCCATAAACCCTAATAAATAACAACCCTAAACCCCAAACCCTAAACCTAAACCCTAAACCATCAAACTATATAAGTGATGCTATGACTCATAAAAACAATTTTATTTTGGTTGGTCATTTTAAACTTTCATTACACAAACTGCATTTTTTTGGGGTTTAGGGGGAAGAAAATATATCAATGACTTCATAGGAGTTGAAGTTGAATTTTTTGAATTTATTTTTAAATTTATTTTTAAAATTTTGAATTAAAAATAATAAAATATTCTTATATCAACAACAAACCACGGCGGGGTTAAGTAACTAACGACGTTGTAAACAATAATAAACGACTAACAGGTAAACAAAACGTCGTTTAAAAAAGAAACCACGTCGGATTTTTCACCATACGACGTAAACTCAATATTCCACGACTCAATCACCGTCGTTAAAAGTAATACCCTAAACTTTAAAACCATAAATTATATATTTGTAAAATTTAATTTTATAAAATTGTTTATGGTTTTACATCCTAATAAATAACAAGCATAAACCCTAAACCCCAAAAATTATACTTTATCCATAAACCCTAATAAATAACAACCCTAAACCCCAAACCCTAAAACCTAAACCCTAAACCATCAAACTATATAAGTGATGCTATGACTCATAAAAACAATTTTATTTTGGTTGGTCATTTTAAACTTTCATTACACAAACTGCATTTTTTTGGGGTTTAGGGGGAAGAAAATATATCAATGACTTCATAGGAGTTGAAGTTGAATTTTTTGAATTTATTTTAAATTTATTTTTAAAATTTTGAATTAAAAATAATAAAATATTCTTATATCAACAACAAACCACGGCGGGGTTAAGTAACTAACGACGTTGTAAACAATAATAAACGACTAACAGGTAAACAAAACGTCGTTTAAAAAAGAAACCACGTCGGATTTTTCACCATACGACGTAAACTCAATATTCCACGACTCAATCACCGTCGTTAAAAGTAATACCCTAAACTTTAAAACCATAAATTATATATTTGTAAAATTTAATTTTATAAAATTGTTTATGGTTTTACATCCTAATAAATAACAAGCATAAACCCTAAACCCCAAAAATTATACTTTATCCATA